TTGTAGGACTGGAGATTACATCACAGGATGATCAGAAACCTGCTTAGGGGTATTGGAAACCTAGGAAAGTCATAGGTGGAGAAGTATCTTTAAGACTTTCAGACAATTGCTTTTTTAGAAAATACAGAAATAGGAACATCAGAGCACTTAAAAATCTGCTTTAATGAGAATCAATGAAGCGGAAACAGCAGTTGGAACCATGCAATGCATATATTTGAGCAAAACATATTGTATTGCAACCAATATAGGAACCAACTATTTCATGAGTGCAGCCACAATAATCTACTTGTAGGCAAGTTTGAATTAAAGATTAAATATTTTTATAGCTGGCACTGTAACTTAATGCCAAGCATTGATCTACTACAATAGGTAGGAAAAAAGTTGTCATACTTTCCAATCCAGATCAGAAAATGAGTAATTTGCACACTCAAGTTATACAGAGACGACTACAGTGAAATGCAAAAAGATGCATTCGCAGTTTAAATAAAGAGTACAAGTAACCATTTTCATAAGCAACAGCCTAACACACATGCATGTGCACATGTAGGAACAAGTACATATGAATTGGCAAGAACTCTCTTTCGTATTGAAGTTTATACAAAAAATATATATAACAGGAGAAAACTTTTGAGTATAACTGAAGCCTCAGTCCATACTCTAGCAGCCCTATGAGAACTGGGAAATCATTCTGCACTCTTACACTTTATCTGTAAAAGTATCTTGGACTGCAATAAGGCATACTGGGAGCGATAATGGCCAGTCTCACTTCGAAAGCTCACAAACAGCTATTTGTTCTTTTGATAAACAACCTGATTCCACTGGATCTTTTGGTGCTGATCAGTTCCATCAACCATGGTGCCTAGGCTGGGGGGAAGAAAGCACTGTTTATATGGCTCTGTTTCTAGTTGAAGAGACAATCCTAGAAAATGGTTTTGAGGGGAAGGATTTTACTTCTAGCCCATGACATTTACATTATGGAGTCCCAAAGGGATTCATTCTGTTCCCTGTATTATTTACATGAAGCCACTGAAAAAGGTCAGCTGATATGAAATTAGCTGTCACTTACACAGTGAAGACATGCAGCTCTAACTTTTCCAGCTGAGTCAAGTGAAACAGAAGAATGCTGGTGCTCTGATGTTTGGGAGAGGTAACTTACTGGACAAAAGCCAAACTAAATTTCAATTCTGTAACAATGGAGGTGCTGCTGGTAGGAAGTTTGTCTGCCTAAGAAAGTGGTACTCAGTCTATTTTAGAGGGTGCTATGCTATCTCCTGTGAGATCAGATGTGCAATCTGGGGTTGTTATGAGTTCCATCTTTATCACCTGATGCTCAATTAAGTGCAGTAGCCAATGTGTCTTCCCTCAGTTGGGGTTGACAAATGAACTATGAACCCTCTTGACCTGGACATAAAGAGCCTTGCCCCAATTATCCATACCCAGGTTACTTCTAATTTGGATTGCTGCAACACACTTTATGTGGGGCTGCCTTTGAAGACAGTTCAGATACCATCAGGCCCCCAAGACTGCAGTTACAATGCTAAAAGGAACTAGGTAAACCAGATAAACCAATGAAGACATATTATCTTGTTGGTATTTAAACAATTGACTTTCCATAGTGTTTCCAGCATAATTCAAATGTAATATTTAAATCCCTATATGGCTTTGGTTCCAATACCTGTTCAGTTGCCTTCTCTTGAATCAATTCACCCATCCACTGAGATCATTGGAGACTTTTTCTAGGGTGTCCTGTTGTCTGATGTATGGCTGGTGGTGACTGAAAAGAGTGCTTTTCAATTATGGTTCCTTGCCTTAGAAATGCCTTCCCCAGGGAAGTCCACCTGACACTCTCATTACCATCATTTAAGCATCAGGGAAAATCTTTTTTGTTTTTCAAGATTTAAGAACTGATAACATTAGCATTTTTAACTGAAGGTGGCTTTGATTTTACTATTTGAATGGGCTGTTTTAGTTTGTTAATTTGAGTGCTTTATTTCTTCAGAAAAATATTGTTTATTTTTATTATTTCTATCTTCCTACTTTGTTAGCTGTTTTGGGAACATATATTAATGCTGAAAGTATAGCATATACATTATGTAAAAATAGTCACTGTTCTCTCTAGCACTTCTGGAAGATTTAAAAACAGGAAGATTTAAATCTGTAAAATGCCTTCTGCATTCCTTCTGGAAGCTGCTACAAACTAGAGCCTCCACATGTACAACACGTCTTTCTTTTCTATCTCCCCACTGTGTTTAACATCCAACCTGAAGAAGAGTTCTAGCGAATTCAAAAGTTTGCACTTTGACATTTTGGTTGGCACAACTAAAAATACTGTCTTACTTTCTCTGTAAGGTGCTTTTCTAATGGACTAGCTCATTTAAATTAATGATAGAAACCAACACACAAATGCTTGCCTCTGTACTTTCAAATGGAAAAGTAACTCTAACGTTAACCCAATCAAACAATTCTAACGTAATGTGCAAAATGAATCTATAATTCCTTTGCATTTGATATAAACTGCAGACTGATGCCTTGCTACATTCTCCCACCCTACCTGCTTAACTAGTGAACTTGCAATGCTTATATATTACTTTGAGTTTATACAAGTTAGTTTTAACAAAGGTACTTTTCCTGTTCTTGTACAAAATATGCATGTTAAGGCTAAATAATGCTTCCTCATTCATTTCACTGCCTATCAGCCAATCAAATTCACCTTGGAACACTGACACTACCCAAGAAGTTCAGGAAGGCAGACTAAAAATGATCAAAGCATTACACACAAAGAGCAAAATGTGGGCTCCTGCAACTAACTGCAACAAACAAAGAGATCCTGGAGTTAAGGAAATGTCATATTTCTTTTGCCCTAACCAGAGCAAGAAAGAGATATCACAACTCACACCACCAGCTTTTTGAAACAGATAATGTACCAATTAAAGCTTGTGGCATTAAACATCCCTTTAGCCATTTGAAGTCAGGAGCAAAGGCAAACCACAAGGTCTGGCAACAGCAGAATTGGAAAACAGTATACACAAACTTTTTTAAAAAAGCTAAACACTGCCACTTTAATTTTGAAAAAAAGTAGACAATTGCATGAAAAGTAAACAATCAACAGTTCATAGCAATCTCTCCTCTTTCCCCTTCCCCTTTCAGCAGAGGCTGGAAAAAAACAGGGGAGGAGACTCTCCAGCCAGGATGACCCCAAGATCTGCCACCACCAGCTATGATTCCTCTAAGCTTTGCCAGTTCTAGGTGTGTTAGGGAAGAGTGCATTTAAGAAAAGGAAGAACTATTCCTAGCTTCTCTCTTTTACTCATCCCTCTGGGTATCACACTATGCTACCCGGAGAATAAGCAAGAGCCTCTCCCCATTGCCACCTCCCTCTGGACAGTGCAGTACAGAGGGCTGGTCACAAGGGCAGCAGTCAGCTCATCCTCACACTTGCTTATATGCTCTCTGACTCTAAGTATGGTGGTGAGGAGTGGGCCTAACTTGCCAGAGGACTTTCCAAGGGCAAAATTCAAGCAAGCAAGTCATTTCTGCTTCTAGAGATCCACCACCTTTGTTTGCTTCTTTGCTAAGGATGGCTAAGTCCAATTCCTCCTGTTGCATCACCCAAAGAAATAGGATGCACAAACAAACAGAATATTGTAGAGAAATAGGATGGGTAAGCAATCACCTGCCCTTGCAGGAGTAGCCACTGAGTCCATACAGTTCTCAGCAGCAAGGACTGGACTAGGAAAGCAATAGTTGCTGCCTATGCCTCACTTCCTCACTCTGCAGCTTTCTACCTGTTCATTCAACATCTTTTTGAGCAACACAGCATGATCTGCTCTCTTGTTCTGTGCTTAGTGCTCTGTTTTTTTTTTATATATCACCAGTAAAGGAGAGAAAATGGTACCACTGATGTAACTCAAACCTTGAACACAGGACCAGGTTACCTGAAAAAAAAATGCCTCCCCCTTTATGGATTTGTGAGACTACTGTGATCTTTCAAGGAGGCCTTCCTGACCATGCCATATGGTAGCAATGGGCCTTTGCCATGGTACTGCTATTCCTCTGAAAAGACCTCCCCTCTGCAATATATCTGGCACAGATGATCATGTGCTTTCAGCTGTTATTAAAAGTTTACCCAGACTATTCCCAATCATTAACCTGTCTAAATGTTGTGCTTTTAACATGATGTATTGTTTTATATGCAATTCAAATGCATTAAAATTTAAAAAATCTTAGCTCTGGACTCAACTCTACAATTGAAGAATAAGATTCTAAGGTGGCCTTCCCCAAGCTGGTACCCCCCAGATGTTTTGAAATACAACTCAAAGGTTACAACATAAATACTGGCCATGATAGCACAGGCTGAAGGGAGTTGAAAGTCCAAAACATCTGGAACACAGCAGCCTAGAAGACTACTGTAAGGTGTTATCAGGGAGAACAGAAACTGATATGAGACTTGGCTAAACAATTACAGTTCATTAACAAAGACTGCACATTGAACCTCTCCATGTCAACCTTTATAAACCACCCCCTCAAATACATCAGTTTCAAATGCTTTCTTCAGTGTTTCCCTAAACAGAGTTTACACACCCTTCCACCCAAAGCATCTGGTCCTTATCACAAGGCCTGCAATCTACCTGCTGAAAGCCACGTTCTTTAAAGAACCCCAGAAATAGCCACTTTTACAGCCCCGAAGCCACCTTAAGCCCTAGTTTCTTCAACGCACATGCACGTAACACTCCGCCAGGGAAGCACACCCACCGACACAGCACTCTACCCACAGCCCTTTAATTTAAATACATGGACGGCGGCTACTTCGCTGGATGTCCATACGAGCCTTTGGGAGGCGGAGGTTCCTTTCCACGAACCACCGCACCTCACGGCACCCGCCAGTCACCGAGACACACCCCCAGCCGCCTTCACGGCAAAACAGCCGCCTGGTACAGGTTCCCACAGCCAGTCTCGCCGCCTTTACAGCTCGGCGAGCCACACCCCTGGCAAGCACCTACCTGAGCAGGCTGGAAAGCGGGTGGCCGCTGCTACCACCTCCTCCGCTGCCTCCGCTGCCGCCGCCGCCACCGCCGCCGGAGGACCCGGAGCCGCCGCCGGAGCCGAAGCCTGAGCTGAGACGCTTCCCTGAGAGCAGCTTCTCCACGGTGGCCAGGTTCCCGGTGCGCGCGGCCTCCAGAAGCTCCTGCTCCTTCCCCATGGCCCGGGCCCGGCCCGGGAAACCAACCCCCAGCCTCCACTTCGCGTCTTCAGCAGCCGCCGCTGCCTCAGCCCGGCCGGCGCGTCCTTCCGGGGCGGGGCCAGAAAGGCCACACCCTTCACGGAGTAAAGACTGCCCCCGCCCGCCACCGAAGGCAGGCAGGGGGAGACGGTAGTCTCCTTACGCGCGTGTCCTGGCAGCGGTTGTTGCCTGTAAAGATGAGGTAAGGCGAGGTAAAGGAGTAGGCGGCGGGCTGCTTGCGGCGTTTCCCGCGGGAATAGTGCAGCACGTTCCCGCTGCCACATTGGACCACCTGGAAGATCATGAAGGAGCCACTCCCAGTTTAGGTTTCTCTGTGCAAAAAGGCGCATTATAGAAAAGCAGATTTTAACATCGTCCGTTGAAGAAGAAAGGGCTTGAGGAAGATCTCACGTGCAGATCGCTGGAGAGTTGTTTCAGACAAAGAACTTAATTCTTTCAACCAGGAATCCGTAGGGAAACTTGTTTAACGTGTGACAGTTGAACACGAAGGTATTTCGTGCCCCCCCCCCCCCGCCCGCGTTTTTGGACGTGCTGGGAAGCTGCCTTTGGGTGGACGCAGCCCCCTCCCCTTTGCAGGCCAGTGCTTGTGTGTACCCACAACACATCTGTAACGATCGACCTGCGGTTTCCCAGTGTATTCCACATTCTTTGTAAGAATTTTGTAACATGTGAAGCACCTGCAGTGGGCAATTTGTGTTCTAGATGTTTTGGTGTACAGCTCCCATCTGCCTTAGCCAGCATACCGAATGGTTAGGTAGGATGGGAATTGTAAGCCAAAACATCTGGAGAGCAACAAGCTGCCCACCTCTAACTGAACCAGCGTATATACAGTGGTGCCTCGGCTCACGAACGCCTTGGTTCACAACCAAATTGGGTCACGAGTGGGGAGATGGCCACAATCACAGTTGCGTCTGTGCAGGGAAAACGTGTGTGATCACGGGTGCGCTCCTGCAGGAAAGACGGACGCAATCTTGGCCATTCCCCCTCCCAACCAGCACGATCATGGCCATCTCCCCACCCCCACCCCCTCGAGTGGGTAGATGGCCACAGTTGCAGTTGTGTTCGTACAGGGAAGACATAGAGGAGCTGACGACAGAAGAACTTGCTGAACTCCGGAGTGAGCAGCAGAAGGCACTTCCTGAGGAGGATTCCACTGAGGAAGAGCAAGACAGGGAGGTGGTTAGCAGTGATGTGATACAATCCATTATGAAAAAATGGAATGAGTGCCAGGATTTCTTTGAGAAGCACCACCCCAACATAACTGTAACATACAGAGTGTTGTATCTTATGAACGATAACATGGTCTCTCATTTCCAGAGCGTTATGCAGTGCAGGAAAAAAAAGTGACTATAGATAGATTTTTCACCAACAATGACCCTGCAACTAAGAGACAAAGAAGAGAGGAAACCCCTGAGAGATCTCCACAATGTCCTAATGAACAATAACCTCCCCCGCACCTAGGTTAGTGTTCTTCACTGTACTGTACTGTACAGTACTTTGTTACTTTGCTGTTCTTTGTCACTTTGTTTCAAATTTTTCTGATTAAAAAAATAGCTACAGAATGGATTAACCTTATTTACATTGAATCTTATGGGGAAATTTGACTTGGGTCACAACCAATTTGGGTCACAACCAGAGTCATGGAATGGATGAAGTTTGTGAGCCAAGGTACCACTGAATTACTCTCAGTTGTGTATTTTATTCTGGAGCCAAGGAATAAGGAGGCAGGGCATCCCAGATATTCAGAGCAATTGTTGGACCTGAAGGTTCCAAAACTTTGCCTGGAGAGTGGACTAGATATAATTGAAATTGGATTCAGACAAGGCAAAATATTCTTGCTGGGTAGAGTTGATCAAGAAATTTAGCTTCAACCTATATTAAATGGAATAGTATTCCTCTTGAAAACACAGCCTTACAACTTGGAGGCTCTTCTGCATCTGGCCTTGAAAACATATCACATCACAATAATCCATAATCATATGGATTATTGCAGTGCCCCTACATATAGCTGTCTTAGAAAAATATTCAGAAACTTAATTGGCCCAAGAATTGCTCACAGGAAGCATATGTCTTCCTTGCCGAAACTGCTGCACAAGTTTCCAGGTTGTTTCCAAGTACTATCTTAAGTGTTGGTTTAAGACCTTTAAAGCTGTGAATAGTTCAAGACTAGATCATTTGAAAGGCCATTTTCTCCTATTTGAGTCTTCCTATCTGCTGAGATAATCCAAACAGCTGTTTGTCAGGCTGTTGGAAAAGCAGTTCCCACACACCTTCCTTAGCACAGTCTTCATTAGGGTCACTGAGAAGAAAAGGTTAGAGCCTCTTCTACCTCCACAGAAATCAGCAAGGAAACTAATCTTTCTTCCACTGGTATTGGATGGGAGGAGAGGGGAAGATCTCTTCCTCCACAGTGATCCTGTGTGTGTGAGAATGTGTGCTGTATGAATGGCTGTACGTAAACGTGAAGTGTGTTGCATTCCTTCCCAGCCAATTCTGAGGTCCCAAAAGGTTCCACAAGGACCAGTGTACACTTACCTATATAAAAAGGGGACTAACTCTAGTGCTAGGTTCTGAAACTCCCTTCCAAGTGAAGCCTGGTTCACTTCCTTGTTAATCTAGAAGCTGGTGAAGCCCTTCCTTTTAGGGAAAACCTCCAATTGATAATTTTTACTTACTGTTTTATTCAATCTCTTCTTAGATATTTCAAACATTTCTAAATGCTATTTTCTAATGTGTCTTTCAGCTGCTGTTTTTCTTTCATTTTCTGGAGGGATATTTGTTATTTCCTTGAGAGTCACTTAGAACTCATCTTGAGAGTCACTTAGAACTTAGACAGGATTTATTCATTTTTTAAAAATGAATAAATAGGTATATACATTCATTGCACTGTCCAGTCTGTCCGTCTCTTTCTAGGCACAATGGCTCATACATTGGGGGAAAATGGAAAAACCTGCTTCTGTTAGAAACAGTCACTGTGGACTGTGATCCACTGAATGTGACATATTAAACATTGTAGTTGAATTAAACAACTGGTAGATAGCTTCACTGCCTCTGTGTCTTATGATGACCAATGTAACAGAGTAAAAAAAAAATACTTTTAATGTTCAAGGTTCTCTGTCTGGTTTCTCTAGTTAAAAAGGTCACAGGACTAGGACTGAAAAAGACCTCTGTCTGAAATGTTATTAGAGAGCTGCTGCCAGTAGAAGTTGTCAGTGCCACATAGACAAGCACACTTAGGCATGAAACCTACCACATTTTCCCTCCAATTTCTTCCTCTATTCCCAGACATGCATATGTTCCCTTACATTGTGAATATAAGACCTGGAGACTGCCTATCCTTCTTTTATAGGAACAGTGGACTTCCGAAATGGATCCCCAACTGTCAAATATGCAACATGGACGATAACTCATATTGTTAGACTGTTGGATGACAAGTCAAAAGAGGATAAGGAGATTAGAAGAAGCTGAATGAATTATTTTCCTTTGTCTTCACTGCAGAAGATAGAGAACATGCAACTGTGCCTGAAATGAGGTTTTCAGGAGGGATTCTGTGGAATTGAAACAGATACTGTTGACAAGAGATGAAGTTCTCAGCTTTACTGACAAATAGAACATTAATAAATTAATGTGCCCAGTAACATTAATAAATTACCTTAGTATCCTTTCTAAAGTTCTTAACTCAAATACGAAATTGCTAATCCTCTAACAAAAGCACGTAACATGTCTCTGAAATCAGCCTCTGTACCAGAGGACTGGACAATATAACACCAATTTAAAATGGTACCCTAGGGGAGATTTAGGAAATTACAAGCTGGTTAGCTTAATATGTGTTCCAGGTAAATTGGATGAAAGCAGTATTAAAAATAAAAGTATTAAGCATATAGAAGAACAGGCCTTGCTGAAAAGGTAAGCTCTGTCTCTAGCCTTTTAAATTTCTTCAAAAATATTGATAAACATGTGGAGATGGGTGATCTGGTATTTATTGTTTATTTGGACTTCAAAAAGGATTTTGACAAAATCTCTTACCAAAGACTTCTGACCAAATGTATTAGTCAGGAAGTAAAAGGAGAAGTCATCTAATAGATCAGTAAGTGAACAGAAAACAGAAAGGAGGAATAAATGGTAAATTCTCCCAGTAGAAGGATGTAAACATTGGGATTCCACAGGGTTCTATACTCTGTATGGTTTTCAACTAATTCATACACGATCTACAATTAGGAGTAAACAGCAAAGTTGTCAAGTTTGGGGATGGCATTGAACTATTTAGGATGGTTAAACCCAAATGTAATTGTAAGGAAATCCAAAACTGGAAGAATGGACAACCAAATAGCAAGTGCAATTTTGGGTAAGCAAGTGTAAGGTGCTGTTCATTCGGGAAGAAAATCCTATCTTTAAACTGATGGGATCTAAGCTAGTGGTGACTGACGAAGAAAGAGATCTTGAGATTATGATGGACAGCTCAATGAAAATGTCAACCCAATGTGCAACTGTTGTGAGAAAGGCAAATTCCATGTTGGCAATAATTAGAAAAGGAACTGAGAATAAAACTGCTAATATCATACTGCCATTATAAGAAATGTTAATACAACTACATATAAAATACTGTATACAGTTCTGGTTGCTGCACCATAAAAAGGATACTGTAGAGCTGGGAAAGATGCAGGAAGGGTCAACTGAAATGATCATGGAACTGGAGTAACTCCTTTGCAAGAATATGTGACAACATCAGAGTCTATTTAACTCAGAAAAGTGGAGCACAAGGATAGACTGATAAAGATGTACAAAATTACAAAACAGATAAATGGAAAGACTTCACACAGCACACAATGAAACTATGGAATTCACTTCCACAAGATGTAGTGCTGGCCACCAATCTGGATTGATGTAAGGGAATTGGACCAATTCATGGAGGATAAGTCTATGGTCCTAGCAGCATCTCTGGTATCAAAGCCAGTATGCCTAGGAATACCAGTTGCTAGGGAACGTGGGCAAAAGGGTGCTATTGCAGTCATGCTCTGTTTGTTGGTTTCCTATGGGCAGCTGGTTTGCAAATCTATGGCTTTTGTGTTTTTGTATGGCTTGCAGCAGCAGTGTAAAGATGGGAGGAGGTTATCTAATTGTTACCAGGAAAGTATTCTTTGAACCATAAATTGGAGATGATGGCATGCAAACTGCACACTATCTCTGTGTGGCAGGCCACATGTGATTAATTTGCTGGGTACCTTTATCCTATGCGCTGATAGTTTTTAAAGTAGTGGTGGAACTCATGCTCTTTCCCTCCAACACATAACTAGAATACTGAATGATACAGGTTCAATATTGATAACATTGTTAGAGTTAGTATGAGTTATAAAAAGAATATATATTCAGTGATATTCTTAACAACAGTGGATTTTTTTTGTCATTTATCTCTGAAGATGAAGACAGGAAATAAATTTAAGACAATTGAAGATGTTTTAATAGAATCATTGTTTCCACTGTGTCCATACACACCTTGAGTGCATAAAAATATAGTAGTTCTTAGGACTAATGGTTCTTGTGACTATGTATGAGTGTTTTTGCCCTGAAGCTCCATTTCTAAGCATATACCTTCACTTTCCCATCTTGACTCAGTGTACACTTGCTGTACTCACAAACTTGCCCGCTGCATAGAACAAATTTTTGGTGCTCTCAGTTGGATTCTTATATCAGGCTGTAGATGATATGTTAAAGATGACAATGGCAAATTTACTGTTCTGGCTTAAACATCTAGTGTATCATAGCAAATGCTGATCATAACATCCCATATTCCCAGAGTGTGAGGCAAGCACTGATTAATGTTCACCAAAGTCCTGAAGCGGGTGAACACAAGCTTGTTTAGGTTACAAAAAACACCTGAGGAAAGGATGAGGCCCATCCTATTTATATGCATTTAAATGGAGAGTGAAGAAAAAGGCACAATATGGATCTGAGAATAAACTTTGGGTACAGATGCACCAGATTGCTTTCATAGCTTCAGTCTGTTGCAGAGGCAGATAGAATCGTGTGCCAGCTAATGAGGGACAGTGAGTTGAAACTTTTTTTTTTTTTGGTCAGACAGAGGTCCTATGGGTGGGTAGTTCTCAGTTCCCGTACTTGGGTTATTTGTTCAGAATGAGGTTAAGCTCTCTCTGAAGGAACTAATCTGTAGTTGGTGTTTGCTCTTGTCGCTGGTTCCCCGAGTGACCCTAGTTGCATAAACCACTCACTAGCAACGTTTTTGTACGGTGATAGCAATAGCTGTCTCGAGGCAAAAGTAAAAACAGGCCCCAAATGTGCATGTGCTGGTTCATTTAGGAGAGAAAGACCAACCATAGCTTTAAATATTCCCTCACTTTAACATTCAGTTTGCGTTTTTCAAAAAATACGCAAGTCACCATTCCAAATACTCGAAGGTCCCCTTGTCTTATGGTTATATTGCGTGTATAGTATCCTCCAACACTTTTAACTGTTCAGGCGAAAGCATTTTTCTTTTTTGCTGTGAAGCACCCCGGTCCCAAAAGCCTCCACATTTCTATTATGTGGTTCCCGCGTTGCCTCCTACGGCACCCCGCCCCCCATGGTTGGGCGTGCTGCGTTGCCATGGAAAAGAGCAGTTGAAGTGAGTAAGGTCGCCTCGATGATGTCATCAGAGATCGACAAATCCAGCAGTACGATATGGCAGAAGCAGAGGGATCTCGCCGGGAAGAGACTGTTCTTGCGCTTGCAGTTTCGTCTTCGGCCGAAGAGCCTTCTGTCCTTGCTGCGGAAGAAGCCGAGCGGCTGGAGAAGGACGCAGGCGAGGTGAAGGAGGAGGGGCTGCCTGTAGAGGTGCGTAGGAAAGAAGGACGAGGTTTCTTCCTTCCGTTCGGACGTCCCTTTTTTCCGGCCCTGTCGCCGTTTGCGTCTTGCGCGGCCGGTGCCGAATTACGACTTGGAAGTGGAATCTGCTCCAGCTGCCCTCATTTAGGGGACAAGACCCGTTTTTCTGGTGAATCGTGACCATTTTTTATGGGAGGGGGAATCCCAGTTATGTGTAAACGTGCACTCACTCGCGCTCCTCCACTCTCTCCTTGCTTGAATTGCTGTTGTGCAGAAATGAAAACAAAGTATCAGTGCACTATTTTTCATCACAATTGCACATCCGGATGGTTGTGCTTGAGTTGCAGCTATTCTCTGATATTATATACTTGATTACACATTCTAAAATGTATTACCTTAAACTAGTGTAAGTAATGCTAATAAAGAATAAGCGAATAGTGTAAAATATGTACCAAATACCATTTGGTAATGTGTAAGGAGAAGAGGTGGCTCTTGGGCAGTGAGTGACCTTTAGTATGTATTTGTTATTAATTTAGAACATTTACACAGCACTATTATCATCAGAATTTGCATTTAAGAACAGGCATGTCTGTAAATACACAAATGTCTATATTAACAAATGTGAAATCAAGAATATAACAGCCTTCCTCATTCTATCCCCTCATCCTTCCACAATAAGCAAGAGTCATAGATATCAACACAAAAAATAAATGTTTCAATGTAATTGATTTTAAATTTAAGCAATTAGCATTGATCACATTTACTGTTCAAATATTTTCTGTACATGTGTTTTGTTAAAACATTTCATTTAGGCTATGCATGTAGTAATATTAAAACTGTGGGACTAATACTAGAAAAAATCTTTGATAACATCAATTAACATGGCGACTATTTATGGTGGGCTATTTAAGGTATATAATGGTAGAACAAGAATATAAATATAGCCAATCTAAACATAATTTTCTTAATAGAATAAAAGCAAGGACACTTCAGATTTGGTTCTAGGAGAAACGGAGGAGTCTATATCACAGTCTGGTACAGCCAAGAAAATAAAAATAGAAATAAAGGAGAAGAAAGAAAAGAAACATAAAGTAGATGAAGATGAAATTCAAAAAATGCAGTGAGTAGTTTTCCACTTATATAATTTTGCTAATGCTAAATCATTTCTGTTAGACTGTTAACTGGCTACTGCTAATTTAAGATGCCACACTGCTTTTGTTTTTTTCCTACCTTTTTCTGTTTGGGAGAAGAGGGTATTCTAAAACTGCAGTCCATTGCAAAATCACCTGAAAATACCTAGTAGTTACTTACATAAGAACTTACATATGCATATTTTCTCAGATGTTACACTTGGCTTTAAGAAATATGTAATATTCTGAAATAGGAGTTAATTAGACAATGGAATGCACTCCCCAGAGAGGTCTGCCTGGTGCCGACGTTATACTCTTTCTGGCCCCAGGTGAAGACCTTTTTATTCAACCATTATTTTAATAATCAAGGGTTTTAGATGTTTTAAGATTTTTTTTCTTGGTTCTCACAGTTGTATTTTCTATTTTTCCTTCCTTTTCTGAGTTTATGTTTAGTTCTGTATGTTTTTAATAATTGTTTTATTATTGTATTGTATAGTATTTTATACTACTATACTATTTTATACTATGTAAGCCCTCTTGAGCATTTGCACAGGACAGGATATAAATGTTTGTAGTAATTCAGAAAGAAAGAAAGAAAGAAAGAAAGATTATATTATACCATCCCCTTCAGGATTATTTCATTTAGTTGGATCTGGTTGTTTGTGGGAGGCTTCTAATCCTGCAGATAACTGCCATAGCTATAGTGAGGAGAAAGGGAGGCAGTGTTAATCTATTCCTCATTCCCTTCCACCCACTGCCCAAAAAAATACTGTGTTGGGGAGATGATGCTGTATGCAGAGAGGAAAAATTGATGCAAATCACCTTCCATCTTTTTTTTTACCCTCAGGAACATTCTATGCAGTTCACGCTGCTGCTAATGCAAGCATTCTGCATCCAAAACCATTGTTACACTATGAAATACTATAATATCATCTCCCTCCATCTTCAAAAGCTGTGCATTTCTGTACCTTTAAACTGTTTTTAGTATTAAAATGTTGCTAGAACCTGTGTTATATTTTCTCTAGAATCCTAGTTTCATCTTTTTCTGAAGAACAGCTAAATCGCTATGAAATGTATCGGCGGTCAGCTTTTCCTAAGGCTGCCATTAAACGGGTAGGAGTTCACTCCAAATACCTTTAAAATGAAACTGATTTGCATGATGTGGCTTGCTTTTGCTGTATGACTAAAAGACAATAAAATGGCACTGATTTTTTGTATGTTTCAGTGCCCGGCTAAAACCCTTTTATTTTCCCAGCATTTTAATTGTTAGATAATATAGTATTAATGATTATGTTATACTATGTTATACTGATTTTATCTGTATATTATTGGCATGTTGTGATTTGGTTTTATTCTCGTATTATGTATTATTACTATTTATGGTTACTGTTGATTGGTGTTATACTCTGATGTAGATAACTGCCGTGTTATATACTGTATTTATATTACATTTGTTTTAAATTGTTTACTGTTCTGAGAGCTGTTGCTAATTGAATGGCTTATTGAACACTTAAAGAAAAAATAGATGGAATATTTCACTAGGATAGGTCATAGCTGCAATTTCACTCTGCTATAAAGTGTGCTAAAACTTTACCATTACCTCTGCTACCATTAATGTAATTTTTGTTGACATATAATGTTATAAAAGAAACACTTAAGTCCACAAACCTGAATTCTGTTGAATTTTCTTTCATCTCTCCTCAGCTGATCCAGTCAATTACTGGAACTTCTGTCTCTCAGAATGTTGTTATTGCCATGTCAGGAATTTCCAAAGTATTTGTTGGAGAAGTAGTAGAAGAAGGTAAGTACCAGAAGAATAATCTAGAATTGGATCCATCTGTGTAGGGTCTATCTATTCTTGTCACCCGCATATTAAAGGTAATATAGTATTAATTTATTTAACTTACATTCTGCATTGCTAGTCCGTAGGACTCTCTAAGTGGATTACAGCAAATGATTCATAACAGTAAAAACAAGGTAAGAACATAATAAATGATGAAATAACAATAATACAAAAAATAAACAGAAATGCATAATTTGGCTGTTTAACCACAGACCTTGGCAACATTTCAGCTGAGGATTGACTTCAGTGGAGTTTAAATAGCAGATAAGTGATGTTCATAATCATAGCCTGGATCTGGATATAAAAGTCATGTTTGTTTTGTTTGTGCAGCACTTGATGTATGTGAGAAGTGGGGAGAATCACCACCTCTACAGCCCAAACACATGCGTGAGGCAGTCAGACGACTGAAGTCAAGAGGACAAATCCCCAATTCAAAATACAAAAAAATTCTCTTCCACTGAAGCACAGCTATCAAGTTGGAGATTTTGCAGCTTCAATTATGTGAATAGGACTTTTGCTTCTAGACTGTTTAAAGTCATCTGATAATGCACCATATTGCACAATATTGAAGACATCTCCAATAAAAATAAACTGATTCTGAAATCCTGAGTAACTGAAAACAGAATCTAGAGGATAAGTTATTTGAACTCAGTAAATGAGCATTTTCTTAATGCAGAGAAATAAGCTTGATGAAACTGCTATAAGATTTGAGTTTTTATAAGAGAACAAAGACACCTAAAACAGACATTTGTTATTGCTTACAGTGCAGTAAGAATGAAAATAACTTTCATCCCAAATAAAGGAATTACATTTAACTAATTTTGACTTGCCATTAATGTTTGGGTCTCCAGAGTCCTCTAGTCTTCAACTTAGGGCACAACCCAATTAAGAAGCCCATAAAATCCCAACCTCAGAGGCTTTCGGGCATCCAATGCAGAGAGAGGGGAGAGGAGGCAAGTATTCCCTCCCATTCTGCATTTGCACAAGATAGGTTTTTTCACCAGTCTAGCTGGAGAGGAAGGAGACTGGAATAGCTTCAAGATAACACACTGTTGCCTCCTCACTCCAGTGTTGCTTTCCCAACCTTGAAGAGCAGCTGATACAGTTCCTTTTGCACCAGTTGCAGGGGAAGTGCACAGTGCCATCTCTAGAATGGGATATGAAAAATCTTGCGTCAACTCAGTGCTGTCTTGGGGACCATAGGATCACTGTTACTTTAAAGTATTAAAACTCTTCTCTAATAGAATTCCCAACTCAGTGCCTTCCTGTGGTACTGGACAATTCCCAGAACTGGCCATTGGCTGAGGTTGCTAGATCTGAAGGGGTCCAAAGTCCAAAGCAGCTAAAAGGCAACAGGTTGAGGAAGACTGTTGTCAAGAGTGTCAATATGAAAGGAAGGGAAAGAGAGCTCCTTGTAATAGTAAAGAACTTCCATGAGTCTAGTAATGTAAAGCTAGCAAGTTGTGAGATGTTTCAGTGTTTTCAAAAGATGTTAATGTAAATAAACCTCCACTGTAAGCACTCCCAAAAGTTACATATTAATATTCTAATAAATGTGAAAATATCAATTGGTAAAAAATATTAATGTGCAGCATTTATCAGTTAGAAAGCACCATAGAAGTATGAAATTTCAATCAATATTATGATTAAACACCTGGAAAGTAAAAACAAACTGCAACAGAGGCTAAGCAGTTTAATTTACCACATTAAAAGTGGTTCACAGAACCAATACAATCTTAGAAGATGATATACTGCAACAAAAATAATCCAATACTGTTGAAGTCTTAAATTCAAGTCATACTTTTACCCAGTACTCTTCCTGTATTCATAGCATTCCTAATTAAAGTTACAAAAGCAGCCATAAGAAATTAGGAAAGCCTTACAATAAATAAGAATTACTTAATACTTCAAGTCATGGCATTACACAAGGAGTTTTTTGCTTTTAACTTTTTCTAACAAATAAAGTAGAAAAAATGTGGGCTGGGGAGTGTGTGGGCTGGGGAGGTGTATTTAAAAACAGAACCACACTAATGTAGTTGAGAAGTCAGACATAGCCATATCAGCTTCAGTGGGTTTCCTCCTCATTCCAGCTGTCCTCTTGGAGGAATAACAGTCCATAACAGAGGGGAAGCATCTGGATTGTACTTACCACAACAAGGCCTCTATAATTAAAACCAAACAAGCCATGTCATACAGTGGAGGCAAAAGGTATATTCTCTACAATTTGCCTTACTTAAGACCAATAAATAATATTGGAAATGTCCAGAAAATTATTTTAACAACAAAATACAGAAACTCCAGTGTATTAAATACTCTAGATACAGTTCTTGTGCACTAGTCTTTCTCTGTAACATGCTGCATTTTGCATGAAAAGTAGACAAATGAAATCTTCAGCATTCAGTGAATAGAAAGCAATGAGAACCTGTATTGAATATGACTATACATGTAGCTAAGACCATCTTGCCTCACTCAGAAAGGAAAAAAAGGATATACAGAGTTCAAAAGAAAGTTAAATAGTATTGAATCAGTATTTTGGGGTAATTCATCAGAGTTGCAGATAGGAAAACAACAGCTCTGCCTTAATATAGAAATCTAACAGCCAGCATCTTGGCTGTTATGTTCACATAAAATGCACAAAATGTGTATTTGGTGTGTCATCTTAGTACTGTATAGTAACAGCACCATCTGTTCCATATATGTTTCCAAACTTCAAAACCTCAGTTCTATTCATTATGTAAGTGCAAACTTTAAAACACATTACTCTTTGGATACAAAGTTTTCTCCTGCCACTGCATTAAAGGGCTGCCCCACTGGTGCATTTTCCAATATGGAGAGAGGGAATCATGTTTATTCCAGAGCATGGCCTGGGTTTGCGTAGGATACTGCAAAAGGAATGCCCTAAGAAAAAGGCAGAAACAGCAGTTCATTGCACAGAAATGAACAAGTAGAAGCTACAACACATGCCGAAATCACCACTGCTGAATTAATGAAAGTGACAGTACCACAGCACAGCTGCAAAGCTTCCTGGAGTTCAACAGTGCTGTGCTAGCCTCAAGGGCTAGGAAATTATTTGAGACTGAAGACAATCCCGCCCCCCACCCTGCATTTCTCCTTCAGAAAAAATATTTTAAGATGCTCTGATTCACATAGTGAAGGTCGCATAGCAACTGCTCCAAGGCAGTCAGTTCAAGGCAAAAAAGCAGATGTCAGAGATTAAAAAATGCATTCTACAGATGCAGCTGGGGGCTGGCATTACCTTTATCTACAAACTGTTTAACAAATACCAGACAAAAATTAGCTATAACATACTAACCAATTCTGACATGTTATCTGTTGAAAGGCCTGAATTAAGCAAAACAGCTGCTTGTTAGGTTACAGCATATTACCTTTGGCACAGTCCATTTTGCTACAAGCAATGCATTAATATCTATAGGAACATTACACAACTGCATATCTAAACTACGTATGGTTCTACTTCTGTTGTGTTATAATTTATGCTATTCCTTTACACACAAACAAACCACCCTGCCATGAATGTTTGCAACTTCCTCCTATATTACATTTTAATATCATGACTAAATGCAGTATCCATGGCTTTAAAACCAGTAAGCTTATTTCCTTCCTTCCCCTGCACTTTTGCTTTGATGAAGAGTTCTGGGGAACTCAAAACTACATTTTTGTGACCTTTCTGTTACATAAACACTTTGCCCTAATATGGAAGTTTGAATTCTTCTCTTATTATGGCAAGTGCAGTTAACTTTGCTTATTTGTAATGCCATGCTTTTAAATTATTTTTTAAAGTTACCTTTGACAAATTGTCCATTCTGAGTAATCAAATGTACAGTAGTACATACTTTCCCACCTAATGCAAGACAGTTGATTTAAAAAAATTACTAACTCTCCTCATTCTCCAATTATAACTATATCTATTCTTACCTCAAACATAATTTTAAGCACTCAAAATTTAATATTTAAAATTCATCCTTTTTAAAAGTTGTACCTCATCACCATCAGGACAATAGTTAGTTATAGCTACATTTTAGTGGAAAGATTACTGGTTTGGAACTCAGGAGAAGAAAGTAAACATCAATTATTTTCAGAAAGAAACTCAGCCCTACAATATGCACCAAGGTATATATGGTTTGAAAAGAATTGCTTGTCTTCCTTTTTGTTGCTAGAATGCAGTACATATATAAATCATCAATTTGCAACCACAGAAAATAAATAAAATGCCTAGACATCTGGACACAACTAAGCCACAGAAAGGTGGAGTTCATTAAAATTCTATTAGTCAGGTGCTGTAGGTTGTTTTCAGTAGAGTGTAATTCCTACCAGTCTTTTCCACATTGGTGGATCTTATATGCTCCTTAGGGGTCTGGATGCATAACCACACATATTTTTTCTTATTTTAAATGATTTTAGGCTACCTTTATGGGTAGATCCCTCTCAGCCATAACCTTCTCAGTCAGTTTCTGAAACTAGCTTTTTAAAAACAAAAAAACGCAATGAAAATATCAACCATAAGAACAAAACAAAACAAAATTTAAGTAGAGAAAGAGGTTATTAGATGGCATTAACAGGTTTTGTTACTTCATTTGAGTTCTCATTTTAAAGGGTCATTATAAATAAACTACATTCAGTATAAGGTTTTCATGTAGAAGCCTTTTTCAACTTGATACTATCCAGATGTTTTGAACTCCTGGGACTCCAAACCACTGACCATGCTGGGTGGGGCTGATGTGAGTTGAAGCCCAAAACATCTGAAAGGTGCCAGGCTGGGGAAGGCTGTCATATAGTTTGGTAAGCATTTTATTCCTGTAATCTACATTATCTAGCTAGTTATATATGAGAGTGGGGATAAGTGTTTCATCAGGCTGTGTTTATTTGCCTAAAACTAGTACTGATGGGAGAGAGGAGTTATCTTGAACTAGCTTAAAATGATGAAGTGAATGATGGAGTCCCTTGATTATTTTTGTGATTTTCTTTCCTCCTTCATTTTAACATTTCTCTAACTATAGTTCATCACATCTTAATTGTTGCAGCTGTTTTATGAAGAAAACCTCTCAAAGTATTTTGGACACAACTTTGTTATGGAAACACCCAAGAAAGCTAGCACTGGCCTAGTTGTGTTCCCCAGCTGAACTATGTTTCATTAATTCCAAATAATTATCCAATCTCATACAAAAATAAAAACAGAAGGAAGAGTTGTCTATTCAGCTTTACACTCATACATAAAAATACTTTCTACCAGCATTAATCTGTATTATAGAACATTGCAAGATTGTGGTTCATCATTTACCAAATGGACACTGAAGTATAGTGCATTGACCCGGAAGGAACAAGCAGAACTCACTTTCTCTGAGCCTTTCCAAGATTACCAGTGTAGTGTCATGGAAAGGAGAAACATGCTTCCAACATTTTTAACTTATAAAATTAGGACATTTTTCCAGCAAGCAGTTTTTTGACAACTTACACTGGGAAAGGGTTGGGATGCTACAACAATGCAATGGTGGTGGTGGACAGAGCTTATGAAGAGACATCAGGAAGGCTGACAACTACAAAACTCTGTTAGCAGAGCATTACTGGGAAAGGAGAATAGGAAAATTAATTAATGGAAGATTGCGGCCACCCAAGCTCTCTTTCTAAGCAAACTTTTCTTTTTCCTGTACCAGGGCTGCATTGCATCCCACCCCACTTTTCTAAAGTCTCAGGCTCATGCTGCAGCATGAAATTCCAAGATATTTATTTTCAATGGCTAACAAGGCCCCTGCTAAGTAGAATGTCCTTATTGCACTGGCGTACTGCAAGCATGCCCCCCAAACTCCCTGCTACTTCTTGCAGGAAGGAAACATTACAGTAAGAAAGATTAGCAGGTTGTCAGCACCACTTTGAGATAATTTAGACAAGGTAGTCCTTCCTTGTTTGGCTCTGCAGCATGTAGAATCAATGTTGCCAAACTTTAGATGGAGCATAATTTCATTCCATGTAGACACAGGTATATGGCTGAAAAATCCAATACTTCCGATCATCTTATTCCCATGTGTTCTCCTGGTGTCCCTCCACTTCCATCTCCTGTAATGGCACTCTGTTTCTGTTCCTCAAGGCTGTAGCTCTGGACTGAAGATGGCCTAGTTAATTCCTGTGCAACAAATAAGTGTTGTTGATGCTGGTAGTGATCTCTGATTTCCCTGAGCATCCATTGCCCAGGCTTCAGCTGTCAAAGCTGGAAAAGCGGATCATATTTCCTAATTTCCTGTAGTAGGCGTACTTTGTCCAGATTGGCTTCTGCAAGAGCTTTTTTGGTGGCTTGCAGCTCTCTTTCCAAAGCTGGCACTTCTTTCAGCTACAAGAAAGAAACAAGAGAGTGAGTGTATTTTCAAAGATGTAAAATGCAGTAGAGGTATTATGCTTACATTCTTTAATGATCTAACACATCCAGCAAAAGTACTTGCAGAGAGATAGAACAGTCTAATTGTTAATAACATCCAAGGATTTTACACAGTAATTAATTACAGAAGATTTTCTAAGTATGAAGTTATTTGAATCTCAAATGTCTGTATTAGATCAAAGAAGGGTTCAGGCTTTCTCCCCCCACACATATATTTGCCGGGGATACTTTTTCATGAAAGCAAAAGTAGATTGACATTAACAATCATGAGACAAGTTCCTGAAAATATGAGCCAGGTTCTCTGTAAAACAGTCCTTGATTATGCTCAGTTGATGCTGTTCTGAGTTTTCAATTACTATATGAACTATAATAAAAAGCATATAAAAGTGCAGAATAAACAGAGAGCAGAGAGCCTCTGATACTGGACAGTATAACACCAAATAAATAAATGCCTGATACCAATTAACCAGGCAAATTTATTAACACACAAGCTGCAGGCTATAACACCTTAAAAAGATAAATTAACCAATACTTATTTGTCTAAAAGTCTGTTTTTTGAAATCTCAGATGAAAAGTAGACATTGAAAAATAATTCAACAAGTTTACAGAACCATAACTGTGAAACAGACTGCTTTGAGAGGCAGATAAGCACACACAGTCCTATTTAGTTCACTGCCAGGAGTTCCTGCTTATTAGATTTACAGTACAATGGATCGTTAAATTTTGCTGATCTATGCCACAAACAGAGGAAAATTATTGGGTTTTAAAAATTAATTCATTTAGTTTTCTCTACTGCAATATATCTCCCAGAAACTACTATGGTAGTTTCCACTGGGCAATATATCTCCCAGTGGAAATTACCGTAGTGCTTACCCGGAATTACTTATATCATTTTTAAAATAATTGTAGTTCTCCGAAACACTAAAAAGTAATAACAAAAAGAATACTAAAATATTTGTCTTTTGGAGAAAAACATCTTGTAGACTAGTACTTTTCTTTTAGAGGAGAACATCCAGAAAAGATTTATATCACTGTCACTATAGCACTTTTCAATGCAATACATTATTCAGGTTTCTTATTTTCTATTTTCCTGAAGCAGCATGGAAATTAGTTAACTAATTTCTATATTGTAAAAAAAGTCTATTACACACTGTAAAGATTAGTTATTATCAGTGATGTTGTCCAGTATTTTAGCTTACTTTCTCAATAATAGGAGAACAATTTACTACAGAACATGTTTGATTACAAAGATGCATTCCTTATTTAAGCATTAACAAGAACAAACCCTGTTAAGTGAACAGTGTTTGAAGAAACAATACAGGGTTGTTATAATAGGATTTATTGCCACCTATTTTTTTCTTTTTGCTATTAGTGTTTGTTGTTTCTGTTGCTATCAGGATTATACTCAACATATAAGCACTAGTATCTATTCCATTACTATGGATCTTAATAAAAAATAACATATATTCTATCACTGCTTCCAAATCACATTTCAGAGAGCAACCTTTGCAGAAAGGTACTCAAGGCCTCAGCTTTCGCATATATGAAAGGAAAGAAGAAAAATGAGGCTGCAATTTTCTGAAAAGAACACAGGGGTTGGGTGTCCCTAAATAACCCCAGAACCATTAAATATGTATGTTGAAGGCTTATATTTCCCTAACTCCTACCCTTTTGTGATTACAAGCTGTTGTTTTAAGAACAAAGGCATACCTGTAGTTCATCACATGTTCCTGCTGAAACTCCAGAGATTTTCTCTATTGGGATCCGCTGCTTCTTAGGGTGTTTCTGAAAGCTCTTCTGCATAGACGATTCTTCCCCCTGTGCAGCTAGAAAGTAATGTAGGAATCATATATAATCACATTCATCCAATGGTGGTAATTTTAGAGTACACATACATTTTTTAGACCGTGAAACTGAAGGAAAGGTAATGGCTGAGTAGCAATATCCAGCAATTAGCTAATCTTAATTAATTTTAGGTAACTCCTATATTAACTAAGCATGAATTATCTCAGGGTTTAAATAGTATCAAAGAGAAGTTAAGATGAGTTAGAAGTTTCTAGAGGATCAGCTATTTTAGCTGCAGCTGTTTCCAGCCAATGCCACTGGAATATATGGTACCAACCTGTTATAACAAACACTCCATCATCGTTACAACTAACTATGATGTGGCCCACTGCTAAGATTATAGGGACAGGGCCAGGAGATGTAGGATATACTCGAGGACTGTCATCCTGAAAAACAAAGAATATGAACCTTGGCTATAAAAAGATTAACTCCTAAATTTTTGCAATAATAACATTATTGATGCTTTCATTTCCATAATCTTTTCCTTTAAATAGGAACTGTTGCAACAGAAGGCCAGACTCAATCCATGGTTGGAATCCAGAGATGTCCATGCCCAAGCACAGGCACAATGTACGTCCATACATGCAGGGTGGGGGAGGTACAGGTATCTTGCAGCAACAGCCCCTTACCACTTGAGGAATGACACTACACATGGGTTCCCTGACCTCTAGATTTAGCTCTTTGTGGGGGTCTGTCACCAAACTAGGGAAGCTGAAACCCTCCATGCCATGATCACACATGGTCCTTTGTATTCTGGCTGATACAGTTTCATTTAATATAAGGGTCTGAAGTGCACAATTTCTGCTTTAGATATTTTCACCCTAGCAGATATTGTTGTCCAACATGATACAGAACTTTAAAGTGATGAAAGATTTTAAGAAAGTCTACATAGTATGTGTGGAAAACAAAGCACAGACGATTTAATTATTTTCAGTATTCTTTCTGGAGCCATGACTTAAAATACTTTTCCCAAGAAGCTCTTCTATGCTTATCATGTGAACACTAATTCTTCTAGTCATATACAGCTACAGAAAACCCCCCAACAACTTCACAGTAACTTAGTGAGAATTTAGTAATGAGAAAGAGCTGTATTGGACAGCTCTGATGATAACCATGGGGTAAAGCTCAACTTTCTAGCTGTTCCTCCATGAAACAGATACCCTGTCCCCCAGTGTCTCTCTCACTATGAAGGCAGCTTTTTGTGAAGGAGAAGAATCATCAAAAGAACAACAAGGAAGGCATTCCTATGAGCACAGAAGCCTGTTGTTGGTTTGACACTAATGTCATTGTTTTAACATTACAGTTACTCTGCCACCTATGTTGATACTACTATTCCATCTGGATCAGCATTGGAAATAGCATGTCATCTCTGTGCCTTATGGATAACAAGCATTGCTTACCTTTGCAAAAGCCATGCTGATTTTTCTTCAGCAAGATTTGTTTTTCTACATGCTTGAACATTTTAACCTCTACACTGCCTGCCACCTCTTTTTGATGATAACAGCACACAGACACACTCACTTTCAATGTAATCTTTGTATCCACAAGTTCAATCTTCATGGGAATAACATCAGGGATCACCTCATCTTCAAGAAAAGGTCCGAGGCTAGAAAGGCAGGATGTCAGCAATTCTGTGTGATAGCTATGAACCAGCATGTGAAAAAATCCATTCTGGACAGCTAGAGGTGAGTGCACTTTAGCACTTGGTCCTATTTCATATCGTAAACACACTTCAGGGTGAGTCAGATTTGTTTCGGTGGCTGCAGGCCTCTCTGAGTTTGGATCTCCTAAAAGCATTAAGGGATTGTTATGGAAGGACTTGCACAGCTCAGCATGTGGTTCATTATACAGTAATACTTATCTTTTTGTTACTAAAGATGTTGAATTAAAACAGTTAACTATACTGGCTAGTGGGCGGCACAATTCTCTTCAAAGGCTCCATGAAGATTGATTTAATCAAATTTTCTTTGGAACATTCATTTTCCTGATAGAAATCATGACTAGCTGGCCTCTACGCACAGACAGAATACATTAACATGACCTAAACATACTTGCTTTCAGCTGTCTTAAATAAAAATGCATTTTCATCAAGTAAGTATTTAGCCTTATTCCTTAGAAAAACTGACATTTAAAACTTGGGTTCTTGTTTTAATTTGTTATTACTGGGGACACTATCCAATATGACTATCCAATATGAACTCAGAGGATTAAGGGCATTCAGTTCAATGCAGCAGGAGTGTGAGGCAAGGATTACCTCCCAACTTACTTCATCCAGCAAAAGAGAATATATGGAGAACTTTGTCTATGTTTTTACTCTTGCTCACAAGGAAGAGGAGCTGAGGAACTGCTGATATTCCTCAGTGCCTGGTGAAGTCTCCTCGAAACCACCCCTGCTCCATGGGACAACCTTCTGCACTAGCTCTGCAGTTGCACTTGTGATATCAAGTCACCACTGGCATGGAAAGAAGCACAATGGCTGTGAGAGCAGAAGGAGCTGGCTGCAAGGTCAGAGCCCCACCTCTGACCTCAGAACACATTTGCAAAGTCAAAACTGGAACTCCAACTTGTCTTATGGCCATCTAGGAAGCATCTAGCATCCCAAGGGTTGCATCTTAAATAGCCACTACCAAAAATAAAAAATAAAAAAATAAAAATCCAAAAGCAAGAAAGTCCTGATACAATCAACTAATGACTATACTTTCCTAATTCAATGTGCTTCATGTTTTTAAATCAAACTTGTAGTATCTAATCAATTTTAATCTAATCAATAATTATTTCTTTGTCTTAAGCATGAAATAAATTTGTCCTTGCTTTTCCTCTCTTTCTTTCTCTCTTTTTTGCAGGCTGAAGTTCCCATATAGTTTTATAATATGAGAATATATGCATTAATGATCTATTCCAATTATTACTTTCCCATTTTCTGATTTGGATTATTTTTAAATAGGACTTATATAGGCAAGACAAAAATTATTTTCCATTATCAGTTCAATTTCATCTTTTTTAGTCTCTTGCCCTCTAATGGCCAAAATCTGTACAGCAGAAGAAAGCAGAATCCACATTAAGTTCAATTCACATCCTTGTTTTTGAAAAGATACATCTGTTGGAAACTTTTACTGTTAAAATGATCCTTCTCGAGATCCATGAAGATGCAAGGACAGCATAGGGAGAATAGCCATGTATTCTTGCCACAAAGCTCCCTTCACTGTCTTGTGCACAAATACATCATTCTCAAATACATCAGTGCTACCTTTTCTACTATAAGGGACCAATACTGTAAACAGAGATGGAATGGACAAAAACCGCAAAAAGTAGTAAAGTGGTATGTGAAATATAGCATGTGCAGACACAGAGGCAAGGAAACATTTACTGTACTTTGAATATTGGTATGCCTCTGAAGTTAACCGTTAAGACCAGAAATCAAATATTGTCAAGCCATGGGCCAGGTCCACCTTATGGTGCTCTTCAGCTGATGCATGGCTCATTGTGTCTCTGTGCTTTCTGTGGAAGAACAGAAGCAAATGCTGCTGGAGGAGGACATGCTGCTGTAAAGGGGTTCCATCCATTGCCATCACGTGAACCCTGACAGATAACTATTGAGGTTCCTCAGCCAGAAAAGAAAAGAAAAGAAAAGAAAAGAAAAGAAAAGAAAAGAAAAGAAAAGAAAAGAAAAGAAAAGAAAAGAAAAGAAAAGAAAAGGTTTCCCCAGTACTCAACATTTCTTTTATCCATAACACTAGGAGTGGGAAGAGTGGTGGCAGCTGGAGAATGCCTAGTTGCCTTTCTCATGACAGGAGAGGAAGGACTATGCTCAACCTTGGAGGGTTTTTTTAAAAAAATAAGTGTTTGCCCAGTACTATTTCTCAGCATTCACAAGTGTGCACATTCCATATCTCAGCTGGCAATATGGACATACCGAGGAGGACTTCCAGATGATTTAAGCCTCTTAAAAAATCCTTTGCTTTCCCTTTCAGCCCTTTTTGCCTCTTTCATTTATATACATTTATGCTACATTTATTCAGCCTCTTCTTTACATATATGTCCTACCTTTTTTCACAAGGAACCCAAGGCAGTTTATATAATCCTCCTCTCTATTTTATAACAACCCTGTCAGGTAGGTTAGACTGACAGTGACTGGCCCAAAGTCACCTAGTGAACTTCATGGCTGAGCAGGGACTAGAACCCAGATTTCCCAAGTCCTTGTCCAACACATTAACCGCTACACCATACTGACTTCTCCAATGCACTCTTTTGTTATTGGTAGAAAATGTCAGGAAACATTAAAAAACATTTCAATTTCAAACAACTTTCAGTGAAGCATAATAATCAAAGAAGCCAGATTTTTGTCAGAACCAATATCCATAATGTTAATATTTTGCAACAAAATAAAAAAGCTATTCTTTTCAATATGGACAAACATTCCACACATACACAGTCTGGTTGTGGCTGCAATGCAAAATCAGGGCAGTTTTAACATAAAAGTGTCAAAGCATATGAATTAGAGTGGATGAACTGTGCTCAAATATAACATACCCATAGAATCACTTTGCAGATAGTGCCACATATTCCTATTTCCTAGGTGCTCAGGCGTTAGCTCCATAACCTGAAGGGCAACTGTCATATCATCTCCTTTTGTTTCTATCACACAGTTTACTGCATTCATTTTCAACACCAGGACAGATACCTAAAACAAAAAGCCATAGTACAGATAGATGCTGCAGCACAGGTCCTTCTCTTCCTCCACCACCTCCAACACACAAAGTCCTCAAGAAAAATCAAAATTAAAGGGACAGGATAGGTATCTGACCAGCTGGGTGCTAGAGTCCTGTCCACTCAGGGATTCCGTGCTGTTGATATATGTTGATCCTCTTTCCTCATCTCCCATTGGGCTTGCTCTGATGTCTGCATCATCAAGGGCCTGGGGAAGGTGTTCTAGGGTAAGAGGATCCAAACTAGGCTCTGGAAAAAAAATGAAATTTTATGTAATAATTCTATCTTTGTATTAAGAAGTTTTGACCCCATCCACCTACCCAATCATCAAGTAACGTGTTTAAATGCTTATATTTATAGAAACAGAAATAGAACATGTTTTTGTATAACTGTGCCCTAGATTTTAGGTGTTCTATATCCTCCCATGCAAATCAGTATAGTCTAGAACAGAATGCAAACATCAAAGCAATAATGAAAAATCCAATGTGTACTTCTCATGAGAGGGTATTAATGATTCCTCTGATAACTTTTGTCAAACTGTGAAAGGCTTTGATTTGATGTATTTAAATAGTTCAGCCTACTAAATGTGCTTTTCATGTATTAACACCATTCTACTGAAGGGAGAAGAGCTAAAGAACAAAATAGATTAACAGAAACACCATTTTCATATTTCTTGTATAAGGTTACTTTTACTACTAAGATGATCATCAAAAAGATCTAAAAGCTAAAATGTAAGATGACAGAAAAATCTCCCTACCAATAATCTAAATCAGAACTGAGAAACAGTGTCCAGATCTAATTGTTTAGCAAAAAGGCAGTGGAGGCTGGATTTAATGACTCCTTAAAAGGATTACTATCCAGGTAATTGGAAAGTACTCCTTTCAATATGAATACAATGTTTCATGATAAACAGGTACTGGAAGAGGAGGATTCTAATAACGTTGAACTTATCGCAGAGATCAAAAAAACTACACATAGTGTTTTTAAAACCTCTGCATTAGGGGATATGTTGCTTCAGTCCTTTTCATATAAAAATAGACAAGTCCCCAATTTCTGGGGGAAAATCATTTGAGGCTTGCAGTCAAGGTTTTACAGTAACCTTCTACTGAAATATGAAATTCAGTAACCCTTCCCAATCTAACTTATTTCTCAACACCTTGCAGCCCTAAATTATGCAGGACATTTCCCACTGACCAGCTTCTCAATTATCCCATTTTCCTCTCGAACTCCTTCTATGTAGCTCCATTACAACCTAGCATCACCTTCTGGTTTCAGTACGTCTTCACTTGTACTTCACCTTCTTTCTCATTTTGCTTACTAGCTCTCAATGTTCCAGCCTATGAATTACCCTTCTCTTTTCTGCCAAAAGCATGAAGTTCCTGCTATCCCCAAGCTCTCTGTGTTATGGCCAGCAAAAATGATCATTTCTCAGAAGGTGTCTTACATTCCAATAACTGACATTTCCTTGTAGCAATTAGAATGACATCACAGCAGCTGCATCAATGGCTAAAAGAGGTCTGCATATAGGTGGCAGCCATTTTTAGACTTCTCCCTTTCTCAGGTCGTAAATGACCCACAATGACTGGCAAAGGCTACTTTTTGCTTCCACTGTTTCTCTGGGGTGTGCTTCATTGTGATCTACTTGTGCTACTTACCTTCTGACAAGACCTATATGACTTTTTCATGCCACCAAGTTTTACTATAATTTACTTGATGATTTTATAATGGAAGAAGATATACAAGCTAGTTCTATTACCAGAGTCCATAAGCATCAGAAAGCCATCGCTGCCGTCACTGTCCACCGACAGCCTGTCTTCAGGACAACTGCCATCAAGTGAGCTGGTATCAAAGGAATGTTGAGAAGCAGTCCTCTTCATGGTGAAGAAACGCATTCGTCCACTACTACCTCCCACTGGAGTCAGTGTCCCTTCCTCTGCCTTTGGTGTGGGATCCCTATCAACAAGCACAGATCTAAGCAGACTATGTGCCAAAAATCAGTTATAATTGTAAAATGCCCATTATTTTGATGGGTGGTATATATCAGAATGTCCTATACAATGCCAGAAGTGTCTGCATGCAAGGTTTTTTGGTACTCTGTACACAGAAACACTACAGCTCCCCACCCATTTCCCTCTCACTGAAAGTTAGGCTATTCTTTCTCAGGGGTAATGGCGTGTATTCTCCCCGTCAATGAAATGGTGCACAGAGAGGAAAAGAATGTCCCTTGCTTCAGCGACCAGAGTCTGGGGTGAGGGTCAAGTTTTGTCTGTTTGCAATTGTATCCCAAATTGCTACATGCATATACTATCTCACAGAGCTCAGTGAGAGTCACTGAGAACTGAACTACTCCCTTCTTCATAGGTCACCCCAATCATCAGCATATCCCTGTCCATGATTCTGTGTCCAACACTGTTCTGCAGTCAAGTCTGCAACAGTGATGGTCATCTTCCTTGAGAGTGGGTGTACTTAAAAATGTAAAAGTGGCAGAGATATGGGGGACCTTTGAATTCTTATTCTGTAAAAATAAGATTGGTTTAAACTGTTTTAATCTACATTTCATAAAGCAATTTACAACACTAAAAGGAAAACTCAATGTGAAAAGTGAGGGGTAAAGGCAAATCTCCACCTTCACTCCCAGCTATTGTTCTGGTATGTATATGGTTAAAAAAGTCACTCACTTGGTTTGGGGATGGAGCAGCATTTTATGCATGGTGGAAGCCATCTTTTCCCTGCTGAAGCTGAAAGCATCTTTTGTTATTGACATAGCTTCTTTGGTGAGGTCCATAGTCACATGCAATGCTTCCTTGGTGGCACCTTTTGTTATATTCAATGCACTAGACAATTCCATCTCCATGTTCTTCAGAGGAATCATCTCTTCTTGTTCATTAGTAGAGATTTGCATGCCACCTAAAGGATCAACAATGGAAGATGAGCTGGAAGAAAGAATTTGAGGCATCTGGGAAAGGCTGCCAATGTCATTCTGTCTCTCTGCGCCAAGGATTTCTTCAGCTTCATGAGCTTCTTCTACAGCACCCCTTTCACCAGTGGTTTGGCTATGAAAACCTCCTTCTGTCAGAGATCCTTCACTCTGGGATTTCATTATTCCATCCTGTAACTCAGGCACAGTTATATCTGTATTTGTAATTCCATTATCACCTTGGAATTTTGCAGGGCTGCAATTTTCCTTCTCTGAGCTAGAATCTGATTTCAGCTCTCTGCCTTCTGTAGCCAGTCCCTCCCTGCTGTCTGAAGGGGAAAGTTCAGATTCTATTAGACTTGTAGCATCTGAGTCTACAGATCTTGGTTCCAGTGCAGGAACTGGAGTAGGATGCATCAGCAAAGCCACCTCTGTGCTGTTGAACATGATGCCCATGCAAGTGGTTAGAGAATCTAGAGGTGATCCAATCATTTCCTGAGTGTCTTGGGTCAATTGTTCTTGAAAAGTCTGCAAGACCTCCTTCATCCGAAGTAGCATTAAATACTGATAGTGGTTGAGCCGCACCTTCACATGTGCACTTGAATACAGAAGAACATGAATATCAGCAGATAGTTCTACATCTTCATCATTTTCTTCACCGTTAATGCTACCATGGCCTCCTTCCAAGACTTCCTTTGCCTCTGGGGTGAGGTAGATGCTTTTCAAATCCTGTTCAGTTTTTGATCTTTGGCAGAACTGCTCCTCTCCGCAAAGGTCCTGATGTTTGGCATGGTTACTAAAGCTAGCAGAAGACTTGATTTTAAACTGTGATGACGAGACTTGCAACATTGATGTCTGAGCTTCCTCCCATCTCTTTGGGAGGCAAGCCCACACACTAAGTGGGAATGGGTAGATAAAGTTCAGGGGTTTCCCTTTTGAGCTTTTGGTCCCCTCAAAGTCCAAGGAGATATGGGAGAAGTTAAAAGACCAAAGGTCTTCAAAAGATGACGACTTACTATGGCGACAATCTGTATGTTTGGGGGCTTTTGTGTCTACTTGATATGCATGACGTAAGAAGAGAGTATGAAGGAGGCTGAAGTTGTCCTGAAATTTAGGAAACTGGGTGTAGCTAGAGTGGAAGAATTCTGAAGCAGCAAACCTACGGAACAGATTCTGGAGAGCTAAACAGCTGCAGTGAGGAGCATGCCTTGTGTTGGTAGCTGTCATCTCTGATGTGCGAATCGAAAGACCCTGGGGACGATCCTGGTGATCAATAACTTTCTTCTCTACTGGGATATTTAGCTATTTAGGAAGAAAAGGGGGAAGAACATAAAAAGGATCTATAGAGATAAAACAATGCACTGTATCCTTAGCTTAAAATAAAAATGGGTACCACTTCTTTGCATACTTAAGTTTTTTATGTAAGAAACACTTTATTGCACATTGCTAACTCATGCTCTCAATGGTCATATCTGAGTAAAGAACTAATCAAGATTAGAACAGCAATAGTTCACAATATAGTACAGGAAATATCTTAGTAATTGGTATAATAATTTTACTGCAGCTGATAAGAAGGCTCTGGACCGTTATACTTGGAAAGCAAGTACTTGTTATCATTCAAAGAGCTTTCTATTGTAATTATTCAGGAGGAATTGGCCTTTACAGAATCCTGCTTAGATTCTATTATATGACTTATATGAATAAATGTCTATTTCAATTTACAACTACTACTACTAGCAGCAGCAGCAGCAGCATTAAAAGACTGATTAGACACCCCCAGTCATATTCTATAAACACAAGTAGAAATTAATGCCAAGTAAAGCAGTATAAGCTTATACTACTGAAATTAAAAGGCTTTTCAGTTGTCCAAAAACCAACTAGTCCTCCCTCTTGAAGATTTTTTTTTACAGGCTAGGTCCCACATCTGAAGTGACAGCAGGTAGACACAAAAAAGGTCCCTTTTTTATATAATTAAAACAGCAATAGCCATAGCAATAATACAGATTCTGATTAATCAATCATTTGATATATTCCCCTTAATCTAGAAGCTTTTATTATTTGCACTAATATGGCACTGAAGAAGGTTGTCAATCTTCCACAAATTGCACGGAGAAGGATCAAGACAGAAGGATCATTTCAGAAAAGGCAGAGTGGTGTCCCCTACTCCTTCCTTCCTACAGCTTCCTTTCACCTTTCATAAGTCAGAACAGGAAACAACAAATACCTTGAGCATAAAGCCATCCAGTCTGACATCAATATGCTCATCTTGCTTGCCAGAATTGTCCAGCTTGTATATAGCTTTGAATTGCTGTAGGCTGCGATAGAGATCAAGGCAGAACAAATTCACCCAAAGCACACTCATTGTGTCCAAAGTGAAAATCAAACCATTCAGCTGCAGGTACAAGTTTGGACATGGGACTGGAGAGGAGGAGAAAAGTACAGGTTAGCATGCCATTAGTTTGGGAAAATTGGGAAAAGGAAAAAATACGGGGTTTTGATTAGAACCACATCTCTGTAACAACAAACTAAACATATTGCCTCCAAAAGCAACCAATGTTGAAAAACCTTGGCTGGTTTCATAATAGAGTTCCCATTGTTCTCTCATTAGGTTCATATTAACATCCATCAGATTGGTAATAGACATTCGTAAGAATGTTGATCATCAATTATTTCTTGTAGTTAGACATTCCTTTCTTGAAGTCAGTTATATATATTGGCCTTCAGCAACACAGACTACAGGTCAATTGTATACGGTGCAAAGTGCCTGTTCGTGTCTTTTAAGCACAAAGTAATTGTGCTTACAGAACATTTCAGGGCACACTTTTTAGATCTGAAGTTATAAGAAAAATATCCTTCTTCCCTTGAGCAGAAACACAGTCCTGCAAATTGTATGAATGAGTTCAAACAAACAGGATTGTGCTATGCAGATAGTGGCTGCTGAAGTTCTCAGTGGCTCCCATTTAGTTCTAAAAGGCTAAATAATTAGGATATCAGGTGGCATACAACTGAGGAAACTTCCAGGCACAAGGAACAGGTGACTTCTATCCTAATTATGTCTAAGTGTATGTCTTTCTCCCGGGAGTAAATAGCTATCATTCATTCCTTTGGAGAACAGTAAAGCATTATTCTTGGGGACAACAGTCAAGCTAATACCAATCCACCACCTTAATGCTGGGTAACCTTGCCATCACAGATATGGAAGAAGCATTTTCCCTTCTCTCCTTCCTAATGTAGAATAAGGGTTGGAGAGAAGCAGGGTAATATATTCCAATGTTTATACACACAAGAAAAGCCAAAGAGGAGACTGAAGAAAAGGGGCCAACGTAGAAACAATGGCATCATCTGTTTGCCCTCCACCCTGAATATATCTGAATTGGAAGCAATGAAGACAGTTCTTTACCTCATTATGGGGAAATCAAAGCCAAGTTTGGTAAATAGGAGTAGGTACAGACTATCGAATACATGCTGAGCCCTCCTGTCTCACTCTAACCATTAACGTGTTCTCAGTGAGACACAAAAGAATGGGAATATGGGTGGAAAAGCAGAGGGAACAGTGGGCAAGGAAGTCCCAGTGATCTCAACAATTGTGAAGGAATTAAATCTCTATAACCACCACTGTGAAATAAGGAAATTACTGGCTGCGCAGAAGAGCAAATATTGTATATTACTGGAAGGTTTAAAAACAGCAAATACAGAGAGTGCCCCAAAAATGTATATACATTTTAAGAAAGGAAAAACTATTAAAAGGTGTTGCAAGGTGACACTAGCATTCGTTTGATTAACGCCATCTTTTGGGCAAACATCGTACCACACATTGCTACCATAATTCAATACAACTTTCAAAAGTAACACATAGATAACATCTCTTAAAACATTTTTGGCACCTCCTGTATATTAGCACTTATAATCCACCCAGAAAATGTTGGGTATTGGGCAGTTGGCTGAGCAGGGACAAGAATACAGACTGCCTGAGTCCCAGTCCTGCCCTCTTAACCACTTGCTTTCTTTGTGGTGTCCACCGCCTTATAGGTTTTATAACTGAATAAGCCATTCCCACTGAATGATATAGCAGTGGGTCTCCTGGGTTAGTCCAGTTGAGTGTAGACAGGTGGACCTCCTCAATGCCACCATAGCTTTCACTCCACAATCTGGCTGATGTATCATTGTATTGATCCACTGCCAGGCTAAGCTAGTGGCCTCTGTCTAAAAGAGGAGTTCCCTTTGATCCTCTGGCAAATAATCACTTAGGGAAGCCACTTAGTCCCATATGGAGAGTTGGTGAAAGCTGTTATGGCTTGATAATTGGACATAAGAAGGCCAAGGACAGCTAAAGTATAAAGCCTATATCCCATAAGGTCCAGTTGGCATCCCTTTTTATTGACTGAGGATAATGGCATCCTTTTCCTGCGCCCTATATATTTTTTCTAACTTCTTGGACACTGGAGCCACAGGGCTTTCCAAGATGGTTCAACAACCTGAAGTAAAGTTGGAAGGAATGGGATAACAACCAGTACTGAAGCCTCAGATAATGCTGCATTAATGATTGGATCCTGCACCCTCTGCAGTGGTTGCTGATTCTCCAGACTAATGACTGTATCATCTTCTGAAATTAGTCAGAAAAGTGATCCAGGTCTTCAGATTATGACAGGAAATCCTGCATTCCTACTACTACATCTGGATAGGATACTGATGGGGTAACAAAGGAGCATGATGCAGAATATGCAGATAGTCTTCAGCAGTAGAGGGTGCCAAGGAGGATGGGTGTTGATCAGGCATGCTGGACTGAGGTGGTTGAGCTAAGTCAGGTGCAAAATTCCTATGAAGTAACAGTGCTAAAGTCAGGTTGACACATTTGGAGGCTGTTGATGCCTGGGGCAGTATGGGAGGAAGATATCTGAAAATATAATCATCTAGTGGCAGCCTTGAAAGGCAAGCTGGCGATGACTCTAGCTGGGCTCATAAAAAGCTTTCATGAAGTATACACTCACAATCATAAATAAACCTCCAATTCTCATAATAGTAAGACTTGTGGGCAGAGAAAGACCCTTTTGTGTACCTGCCCTAATGCAATACTGAGGAATGAGACCAGTTCTGGCAATCATAATTGTAGTCCTGGTCATGTCAAAAGCGTGATGAATAGGACAGAGGCTATGGTGATACTAAGAGTTAATGATGGAGGGTCACCAGCAATAGCAGTCCAGCACCTTATCTTGGTCTTCAAATGGGGAAGGCTCCCAGAGATCTCCTTCATATACACAGGGTAATCAGTGTCAAATGTGGAATCAATACTGAAGTTGGAGAGCTCAGAAGCAACACAGGAGTTGGGATCAACAGTGAATATGAGAGAATTGCCTTACTCTCTTCTTCTTGTTTTTCTGCACATCATAAGGCTTTGATGATCTGGCCTTTTCAAACAGTTTAGTGCAGGAGAGAGCCACAGACCAACCTGGAACTGGAGGGTCAGTACATACCAAAACAAGAGCTGTCAATGGAGATATAGCCTACAACACCCTCGCTGCCAAATGATTTGCAGGCAAGATGTGCTGGTTCCTCAACAACTTCTAATACTCTTTTCCAGCAAATGGCCTTTAAATGATCTGACTGATTTCTACATGCCTGCTTGATAAACAACAGGCAGTAAACATAGGTGTCCACCATGCATCTTTCACCCAGGCAAAAGATACAGAGGAAATAGTCATCTGCCAGCACCAGTTTGCCTCCACACTTTGACACACCTTCTAAGTGGCTCTTTCAAGGTCCTATTGCTCCAAGAAAAGAAGCAACATATGAGATCACAAGAGGAAACAAATAAAGAAGTGGAGGCAGGGGAGCAAGTTTAAATAATTCACACTGTTCCTTCAAAGCAGCAAGTCTGACTGTTGATAAGAAGGAACTGTGGGGATAGGTTGGAAGCCTCTAGAAACATGTGCAGCAGCAGAGGGGGATTCCTATCTAAAATTCCTCAGCTAGAAAAGCTTTCTGAACAAGGCTCTCCATGCAGGTATACAGAACACATGAAGAAGTAGTGGTGAAAAACACAGGAGTGCCACCAATAGGAGATGTCAATCTGAAACTCCTTGAAAATTTCATGAATGAAGCAGGGTGAGTGCATAATTAACACCCTGTCTGAAAACACTTGTAGACTCCTAAAGGGATTTAGGAGGATTACCTGGAAAATTTGGGTTGTCTGGCAAGTAGTACTCAGTGAACTCTATATGAACAGCTGAGGTTTGGTCAGGAAGGTTCAGCAATTTCCTTCTACATGAAAGCAGTGTCGAGGGTTTCTTACTATTCTGTCCTGCTGTAGAAACCTGAAAAATAGAGAGTTGTAGGTACACACTCAGAATATGAAACATGACTGTCTAAATGCGGGATACAGTGATTATATTTGCTCTTATGGGATTCAAACTTGCTTAAATAGAGAAGAAACTGTATTCTTGATGCTATACCTCAATTTAGGATCTGAAAACTGAACTCTGAAGCAGAAAAGCATTCAGCAACAAAAAATGATTAGTCCTACTGTCCAGTTTGCAGAATCTTGCTATCTTATTACTTTGTAATCATCTACTTGGCTCTGTGTAAAAAACCAGAACATGTAATAACATCGAAGCATGGAATGTATAATATTCACCAAGAGGCCTAATTCACTTTGTGGTGAGACTGTTTAAGAAGAAATTAACAAATTTTTAAAAATGAAAGACACAAACTTGTCTTTGGCATATGTATTTTAAAAAAAATATGTGTTCACAATGAAGGAAGAATAAGCAAGTGAAAATGTAGTGGCACACATCCTGTAAACAGTAAGATGCAGAGTTTTTGCCATTTGTAATAAAAGAACATCCTCAATTTTTTGCAAATATAATTGGATGTAATAGTAATTTACACAGCAGGTCAATAGAAATGGGATTTAGACAAGGAGTACTTTCCATATGAATCTTATCTCCACCTATGACATTTAGAATCTTACCTGATGAATATCCAAGTCATCAACTCGGAGAACCAGACAACTTGATCGGAGTCTTCTCCATATAGGCCGCTGGAGTCCAAACAGGGTAAGAGGTGGCGAACTTGCCTGAGATATCCCCTTCTCTGGAGAGGTTTTTGGAGTACTGGAAAATGAATCTTAAAGACATTTTTAATCATCAGAACAGACAACATTCTATTTTTTACCTACTGAACATTAAAATTTCACAAACACAATTTTGTACTAATATGCAACATTAGACTTAGAGTGGATAATTTCACATGGAAGACATATATTTCTTGAAATTCATGATTCACACCTTCACCAGTGACATGTAGAATTTTATGTGATGAATATCTAAATCATCAATTCAGATTATCTCACAGCTGGATAAGAGCAGAAACATGAGAATGGCCAATGAAAGGTAACTAACTGCTTCAAATGACTATTTAACCCACAATGTGCTGTGCTGCTGCCAGGCTGCATATCTAAACCCCACCCGGACATAGTCAAGCTGCATGAACCTGGCAAGTGTGGGATTGATTATGCGATGAATTAACAATGCTTGCATACCCTGAAACAGGCCAGCAGTTATGTAACCGATAGAACATGAAACTTTCCAACTGAGGGTTGCATATTCAAAATGGTGGCCGCACTCACCACAGCCTTAACCTGGGTTAAGTGACCTATGGTGGGCTGTCATGTTACACAAACAGCCGTATTGGTAGGGAACCATAAACTGTAGTTACAGGAAGCCATATTTCAGCTGAACATAAGGAAAATTTCCTGTTAGAGCAATATGACAATGGACCCAATGACCTAGGGAAGTCATGGGCTCTCCCACACTGGAGGCAGGATGTAGTTGGCAGTATGCAGATGGACAGCTATGTGTTCGGGATGCTTTAACCTGGAGTCATACATTAAGCAGGGGATTGGACCTGAAGGCCTTTTTGACCCTGCTCTACTATTCTATGCTTCTATGAATAAGTGAGCTTCATGGTTATGGGGGACTTAAGTATGGGTCTCTCAGACAAGGTCAAAACACTAACTACTACTGTACACTGGCTATATATCTCATTATACCATTTCCCACAGTTCTCTTCAATGGTCATAGGGGAAGGAGGTATGGATGGCAATAACCTGGCAAATGGATTTGTAGAGCCCAAGTCAATGGTATGGTAGGGATTTCCCCATTTTATTTAGTATGCACCAGCAAAAGGTCAAGTTTTCCCATATAAATGTACAATATGGGATATCAAGGCTGTTAGATCCAGCACTGAGCTCTAGGATTCCAGTGTTTAACTCTGATGAGTCCAATCTTTATTAAAGTACCAGAATCATCTCCAATTGCAGTTTGGAACACAGGGAATTTTACCTACTGCATCATAGGCCATTATGTTTTGAAGTATAGATATGTACCACAAAAATACAAATATTTTTTGTATTTTTGTATTTAGTGGTAATTTATTATGTTCTATTGTATTTCAATGTATTTTATTGTGTTGTAAGCCGCCCCGAGGCTTCGGCAAGGGGAGGCATAGAAATGTTATAATAATAATAATAATAATAATAATAATAATAATAATAATAATAAAAATGTACAAACAGAATTTTTATATAGTGTGGGCATTATTTTGAGTGATATTTTTGTTTTATTGCACTGTTTTCTCTATTTCTGAGTCATTTTGGTACAAGGCAAGATGGAGGCTTCTACAACAGTCTACCAAGGAAGGGATTACCCATTGGTGCTTTTCGCAATATCTTCTCAAAGGTCTTTCAAATTTAGCAAATTCTTGATTAAGTGAATATGGAATATACATATGCATTACCTGATCTCTTTTTGAAGGGAGAGTCCCTTCCTGCAGTTTTGGGGAAGGCGGAGTTTACGTCGTTATGTTTTTCCATCTTGTTTTGGAATTCATCTACCAGGTTTTTTGCCCACTGCTCTCTGGTCTCCATGGCACCACAGTACCGCACCCAGTGTTTACAGCTGTCTCCTGAATGAAACACTGGCTTTATACTGGCAACTTCAGTCTCTCAGCTTCTTTTCAGTCATTCATTCTTTAAATGCATTCCTCAGTATAGACCAGTTTTCTCAAACAAGTCAAGCAAAATATCTTTCTTTTGTAAAATGCATAACTAAGTTTTCAGACAGGAGCGTTAGTTTACATATCGTATTTTCCTTTCAGTACCACCCATCTCATAACTGATCAAATCTTCTCACTTGGGATTCAAACCAGAAATATTTTCAAAGCTATTCCCATTATCTTTACTCCTCATTGAATCATATGTACATTTGTTACTAATCTTTCCTTGACAGTGGCCGCCTGTTTCAGAAAGACATATTTTTCTAACTCTGCATGCACTACTTCTGCCCAATGCTAATGTGATAATTGTAAATAATTGCTGTCAACAGAAAAGTATCACCCCACCCAATTATGAGAGTCTTTGGCTATTGAGCAGTATAAAAATGAGACAAACAAACACTTTAACTCTACATAAATAAAATGTTTAGCTGGGTGTTCTGGTTAATTCAACCTCAGCATTGGGCCATGCATTCATCCCTACTTTCAAAAACTTAGAGAACTTCAGGAAATGCTATCCCTTTCCATACATCTCGTTTGTGTACCCTCACTCCTCCTGCTATTTAGTCCATGTGGTGGGGACAGAATACTGGGGGAAATGAAGCAGAAATTCTCAGTGTTAATAACATTATGTTAAGAGTATCTTTAGTCATTAACATTTAATGTATTTTATTTCCTTTTAAAATGATTGGTGCTATTTTTGAATATAGTCAGCAGTATATAAATCTACTAAATGAATAAAGAATAACATTGCCATTCTTAGGTTATCAATTCTTTTTCATTCACAAAAGCAATTCCCAGTGTCCTTACCTGCCCAGTGGAAAGGGTAATAGTCAAAAGCCATCCTCCTAAATGTGAGTTGCATTGCACCTCCAATTATTCCATGTTTGGAAGCACCTATAGTGAAACAGAATAAAGGTGGTCAAAGCATGCCTGCTATATATTTGAGAAAATTTGCATTTTTGAGAAATTGTGAACATCCCAGGAAGTGTTTGCTCCTGGGCAGCACAGAAAATAAATTAATAAATTTCTGAACATAGTGAGGAGAAAAGCAGGTTTGCTTACTTGTAACTGATGTTCTTCGAGTGGCCATCTGTGCATTCACACATATGGGTGCTGTACCTGCGCAGTGCCTAAGGCCAGAAAGATAGAAAGCTAAAGGTTTTTGGCGGGAAAACTCTGTTCCCCTCCCCCTCCGTACTTTATATAGAGCGGAGTGTCCGTCATTTTCTCCAGTCTTTGAAAGACCGATCGTTCGCCCCCTTTTGGGAGAGAATACGTACAGGTTAATCGGATACCATGTAATTAACATATGGTACCGATAAAAGAATCCACTCACTGATACCAAGTGGGGCCAGCGGGTGGGTTGTGTGAATGCACAGATGGCCACTCGAAGAACATCAGTTACAGGCAAGCAACCTGCTTTTCTTCGTCGTGGCCTCTGTGCATCACACATATGGGTGAGTAGCAAGCTTACCAGAGTTGGAGAAGGGCGGTGTCATCATTGAAGGACAGTGGAGAAAACAGCCCTCCTGAAGGAGCAGTCTCTTCTGGCACGCACATCAAGGCGGTAATGCCTGGTGAAAGTGCACGGGGTAGCCCAAGTTGCAGCCTTGCAGACCTCTTGAATTGGAGTACCTGTGGCGAATGCAAAGGAAGCTGCCACTGCTGTGGTGGAGTGACCCCTCGGAACAACACATAAGTCTAACTTTGCAAGTTGGTATGCCAATACAATGGTTTGAACTATCCATTTTGACAGTCTTTGAGATGAAACAGGGAGTCCTTGGTCCTGTTCAGAATACTTAACAAATAGTCTATTGGAACGACAAAGAGATTCCGTGCTTGATCTGTAAAAAGCCAAGCAGCGTCGCACATTCAGAGTATGTAATGACCTTTTGATTGGATTCGACGGCGATGGAAAGAAGGCAGGCAAGACGATGTCTTGATTCAGATGAAACGGCGTGGCTACTTTGGGCAAAAATGTTGAATCCATTCTCAAGACCACCTTCTCTTTGTGAAAGTTTAAATAAGGCAGGTCTATTCGAAGAGCACAAAGTTCACTAGCTCTACGAGCTGATGTAACTGCAACTAGAAAAGCTGTTTTCCATGAGACAAGACGCAGATCAACGGTTGCTAAAGGCTCGAATGGGGGTCCTGTAAGTGCTTGAAGAACAACAGAAAGACTCCACGTAGGCATAACAGGTTGAAAGAAAGGATGAAGATTTTGTAGTCCTTTAAGAAACCTCTTTATAAGAGGTTGTGAAATCACCGATTTCGTTATTTGTTTTTCGGCGCCAGGCGAAGACCTTTTTATTCAAGCGGCATTTTAACTGTTAACATTATTGGTTTTATCTGGCCAGGGCGGCTTATTTTATACTGTACTGTTGTATTTTAATTTTATATTTATATTTTAATTTATTGATGTGAGCCGCCCTGAGGCTTCGGCGAATGGGGCGGCATAAAAATGTTTTAATAAATAAATAATAAATAAATATAAATTTTTTGGCATTTTGGAGGTCCAAAATTGGACAAAGACCACCATCCTGTTTAGGGACCGTAAAATATCTAGAATAGAATCCATGAAGCCCTTTGGAGCTGGAAAGCTGTCAAATCGCTCCTTTACGAAGCAGTTGGTGTACTTCATCCACTAAAACCGGGGAGCGTGGTGTAAAGCGAATCGGGCTCGACGGAGGGATGGTATCAAATTCTATTCTATATCCGAGCTGGATGATGGATAAGACCCACTGATCAGATGTGATGGACTCCCAAATGGAAGTCGGCCTTGGAGCCATTCCCCAAAAGGGAGAGGGAAAGGCGGGTATTGAGGTGGAGGAGAGGTTCGCCCGCTCCGTCAGCGCTGGCGCTTCTCATTTTCAAAACGACGGCGGCCTTGTTGAAAACGCTGTTGAGATTGTTGCCTTCTGCACTGTTCTCATTGGTGGTATTGTTTCTATGGAGGTTGGTACCGATAAGATGGATGCGACCAAGCCCACTTACGTTTTTGTTGTCCTGGCAGTTCCATCCATCTTGCCGTCATGCGGGACTCATGGATGGACTTGAGTTTATGGTCCGTTCGTGAATGAAAAAGTCCAGAGCCATCAAAGGGCATTTCTTCTATGCACCTTTTCATCTCATCAAGGAAGTTACAATTTCTCAGCCAGGCATGCCTCCGTAATGAGATGGCATCGACTAAGGCTCTAGAATCCGTATCCACATGATGACGAGCTGTGGACAATTGTTGGATGGCCACCTGCATACGCTCTTTGATGAAGGTCCTGGCCAAATCCCATTGTTGTTCTGGCAGGGAGACAATGACATTGTTCAGTCTTTGCATAATGAAAAACTGATACCTGGCCAGGGTAGCTTCATAACTGGACATCCGAAGGCCGAGTCCCGTGACTGCATAGACCTGGCGTGCCAAGGCATAAATTTTTTGTCCCTCCTTGTCACGGGGGGTGGTATGTCCCCTGGATTCCTTGCCTTGAGATGATTCCACATTGACGGAATTTGGTTTAGGATGATGCAGCAAGAAGGGTATGTCACTCTCTCGGACTTGATACATGGATTCGTATCGCCGCACGGTGGGTTGTGCCTGCGAGGGCAGATCTCAAGGTTGAGTCATCGCCTGCCGCAACATTGTAATTAACAGCAGAACAATCACAGGTGACTGCTCTCTCCTGACAATGTCATAGAACTTATCGGTGCTCGGATCTGGCTGGTGTTGCGCCTCGATCTCGAATGACCAGACAAGTCTAGACATGAGCTCTCCGAAGGAGATGTGAGGCTCCTTGGGAGATGCTGGACCTTGGGATGTTATTGCCACATCAGGGGAGGTAGAATCCACCTCGGAGTCAGAGTTGGGTCCGAGATGGTATGGGTCCGACGAAGAACTTCCTGGAGAGGTGGGATGTTCAGGTTGCACACGTCTTGAGGTAGATGGAACTTCCTCATAGACGGAAGGCGATGATCGATCCTGTGGTTGAGGATGAAATCCAAAGGAATGGTAGTCTCCTCAACCCGACAGGTAATCGTAGTAGGGCTGGAACCATCCCTCTTCATGTCGTTCGTCCATATGGGATCGTGGTCGCAGTGGAGAGGCGGGAGACAGATCCTGAGCTCTAGCTGGAGGCACTGGAGTCGGTGAGCAAGCTATAGGAAGGGAATCTTGGATCTCTCCATCCGAAATAGCCTCGCGATAAGGTTCCTCGGGTCGATCCAGAGATTGGCCCCGTTGAGGGGCAGGTTGTACTGGAGACCCGGTGGGGTAACCTGCATTGCTGCCTGTAGCATCAGTACCGATGGTATTGGTACCGAAGCCACCGTCAGGATCGATGAGGCTAATGAACCCTAGTCCCGATGCCTCTTAGGCTTATGAGCTGGTTTGGCCGCTTTCTTCGCCTTCTTGTGGGAAGATGAGTGATCCGATCCACCATGCTTCCTTTTTTCCCCACTGTTTACGTGGAGGAGAAAAGGATCATTGGGCCCCGGAGGGTGAATTCCCATCATCCGATGGGTGCAGCTGAGGCATGGGTGGTGTGACCGCAGGGTGTTGGCCAGGCGTGGTCGAAGCGGGAGCCGGGCGTTGGCCAGATGCAGCCGAAGCAGAAACCGGGCGCTTGGCGGGTGGAGCAGAAGCAGGCCCAGATTTCACAGCAAGTTGGTCGAACTGCATTAACGCTTGATTCCAAAGGAGTTTTCACAAGTGATTCTCCCTATTTTTGCAAGCCTGCTTGGTGAAAGCAAGGCAATGGCGGCATTTATCTGTTCTGTGCCCCTCGCCAAGGCAAAGGAGGCACAAATCATGGGGGTCCGCTGGGGACATCTTGGACCCACATTCCGCACATTTGTGGAAAGCTGCCCACTGCGCCATCGTAGAAGAAAGAAATAGGGGACAGTAAAGAGGGATAAGACAATATTTTTGGTTTTTGGTTTGGTTTTGTTTAAGAGGAAGAAAAGAGAAAGATATAACAAGGGAACAATAACTTGGAGTAATAGTAATGAAAGTAACAAGAACGATAAGAATAAAAGAGCAAATACTGCAGTCGAAGCGAGAGACGAACAGGCACGAGGCACAGCAAATGGTGGCCGCAAAAGAGTGGAGAAAATGGTGGACACTCCGTTCTATATATAATACTGAGGGGGAGGGGAGCGGAGTTTTCCTATCAAAAACCGTTAGCTTTTAATCTTTCCGGTCTTAGGCACTGCACAGGCGCAGCACCCATATGTGTGACGCACAGAGACCACAACGAAGAATCAGAATGAATCTGTACAGATGGGCATTTGTCCAAGTAACTATTTAAATAGAAATTATATATATAAAAATGTCTAAGAAATTCTTAACACTTCTTGAGAGAAGTTCAGGAAACAATCAGGAAAAGAACATACTCCATCTGATATTGTTCTAATAATCAAGGCCTTGTCAATTAAGTTGGGTATGTAGTAACAGCAGCAGCAATGGCAAATGATGTGCCCACATAGGAGTAAATTAAAACTCCAAAGAACAAAATCCAGAAAGAGCAGGAAAAATCCTTTAAAAGAGCAAAATGGTTCTCTGAAGAAGGCAAAAGCCCAATTGCTTCATGGCTTTAAAAACAAGAGGCATATCATGAAAATATATTGTGACAATTTTCCCAGGGCCAGGATACATTAATTAGCTGAATTATTCCAGCTTTTCTCCTGGAATAAAAATATTAATGACCAAAGCAATTTGAAAGGGTCCAAGTTTTGTTCTGTAATAAGATCAACTTAAACCACTTTTTCGGCTTCAATGACCTTATAAAACAATTCAAACTAGGAGCGGGGTACTTAAATCCCCGCAAGTACATTTATGGCTTCAAAGTCCAATGAGAGATGAGCAAAAAATAAATAAAATAATCTGCACATCTGCAGAGGAGAATGAATGTCAACAGAAGGGTTAAGTTCCCTGTCCATCCATCATTTTCCTTAGAAAGTGCTTCTGACTTCCACATTTGCTTCATGAGGTAATCAAAGGGTTGCAAATGTCATGCTCTCCTCATAATGTGTCCCTGCACTGAGCATTTATAACAGATACTGCTGTGCTGTGACACATTAAAACTGAGTCACTTAGTTTCCAACTCGGTTATAAAATCCAAACATAGTGATGCCCATAAGAAGCCCCTTAAAAATTAAAAGCCTAAATCAAATTGAACCCATGAGAAGAGAATTGAGATATGGATCCAGAGAAAAAGAAGGAAACAGGTTGAAAAACTGAATGTTGAAATCTGGAAAAACAACATACATTACCACACAAATTATTTTCCCAATCTCAACATAACAGCAGATACCTGTCTCTCTAGTGTGACTGTCATCACAGATGTGAAGGTCTAGACGGGAAATGAAAAGGTGATAGGAAGACTCTTTCATGTCATGTTTCTCAAAGTACTGGCTGATTGCTTTGTGGCTGCTCCCAAATGACTGGGACCAGGACTGTTGAGCACTTGGAGCAGGAGGTGTGATCTATAACACAGAGAAAAAAGTCACATCTATAAATATTCATATCAAACTAAAGGGATACAACATGGAAAAAAGACAGGTTACACTAAAAGGTCTGAAACAGTGCTGTGCAGAGAACAACATTTGATATTTGGAACAGCAAAGAAGCAGCTTTGAAAAACATCAATAGACTGCAATGCCTAATCATCAAATTATGACTCAACACAGACAGGCTGGAAATTAAGGACCACAGGATATGGTTGTAGTTCTGCTATGTCATCATACTTGCATCTTCTTTTGCCATATGAGAAGCATGTTTAATGTAGCATTGAAAAAAGTACTTCAAGACTATGGCTAAAGAAAAATGGATTGGAACCAAAGAACCATGCATGAAAGGGAAAAAACTGCTACCGCTGTTGTTCAAATACTTGTGTAAGTGTTTGCGTAGGACAACAAAAGGATGCATAAGCAGAAGAATATATTTGGATTTTTTAAACCGTTTTTCTTTTGCAACTGAGCCCTTCTGTGAGGAGAAACTTTCCATACATGGAAAGGCACCTCTAAGTCCCACCTACTGAGTTGGAAAATAGTAGAGCTTAGAAGAGTTCTGATCATGCTGGGGAAAGAGGGAAGGAGACAATCTTCATGATTCTTCTGCTCCCCCTGCAGACCCTACGCCTCCTGATAGGGTACTCTGGAAGAATGAGATTGTAGCATGAGAATAAAATGCAGGGAGCTGTGGGAAGAAGGGCAAATTGGTAAAAATCACCTCTTTGCACCCTTCCTCCACTGGATTGTGGTATTCTCTGTGAATAGAAAAAGTTCTTCCATTCACAGAATAGCCATTCAACTTCTTACCTATTATGTATATCATTATGCAAGCCTTTATGTAATGCTCCTCCAAATTTCCTCAGAGGAGAAAATTGAATATTGCTACCATTTTGGAACCAATTTCCACCTGAAAAAACAGTATTTTGTCTTCCTGTATTTTCAATGGTATTGCAATTACTTAGCCAAAATTCTGTAGGAAGTCACACTTTGAAAGATGCTATGGGAAATAACATTGTATCATATTAATAGCAGAATGCATATGGTATCTTGACATCCAGTTAATATAATTTTTAAAGGATACTTAGTAAAATTTAATTCGTGGTTAAACCAGAGAAAACAATTAAATGGGAAAGAGATGTATTTAAGCTGTGGAAAAACCGTACCTATTCAATAATATAACAAAGGGGGCAAGTGTCAAGAACAAATGCTAAGATAAATGCCTACTTATGAAGATAGGAACAGCTCAATACAAAGTATCAGTATCTATCTGTAGTTTTTGTTCCTAAGGCTGCAACATTTCTGTAATGGTCCCTATGTGAGGAAAACAATCAAACACAGCAGAACACACTATATTTGGCATTAACTAATTTTCAGTTTCTGCGGTGCCGCCATTTATTTATTGCATTTCAGTTTCTGTGGTGCCACCATTTATTTATTTATTTATTTATTTATTTTATTAAAACATTTTTAATTATTGCATTTGTATGCCACCTCACAGCCAGACGGCACTCTGGGCTGCTCACATCGCAATCATAATGATGCCAATAAAATTAGATAACAATAATAGCTAAAATCATACTATGTAAAACAACAAAAATGCTATATATAGTGCAACACAAGGAGAAGCACAGTATAATCAAAAAGACAAACAATAAACCAGCAGCAAGACCAATAACTCATCATCTAAAACAAATACTAAATAAAAAAGTCTTAACTTGGCACCAAAAGCAAGATAATGCGGGTGCCAGTCGCACCTCCTTCAAAAGTTAATTCCAAAGATGAGGTGTAACAACGGGAAGTCCCTTGCTAATTCCCCCTTCTTAATCAATTTAAGAAACATGTGTACAAGTACTGCTTACCTGGACAGGTTCAGGGGCCAGACTTTTCCTCTGCTGAGCTGACTTCTCCATGGCTTCACTCAAGGACTCTGCATATTTCATCATTGCCTTCAGCTGGGAGTCGGTCAGTACCCACAGCAAATCGTCAAGGAGGAACATGAGTTTGGATGCTACCACATTGCAATCCTTTGTCTGTTACATAAAAAAGCAGAGAAAATTAAGCACAAACTGGCCCCAAAGCATTCGCTCTGATCACTGTCAGGAACTGAATCATGGATATGATGGAATGGGTTTCTGAGGATAACAAATGCAAACAAAATTGAAATAAATGAAATTCCTTTGGCTAATTCTATAAGTCTTAAATATTTTTCACTATGTTCAAAGCCCCCCATTTATCACTTTTATCTGAACAAATGAGGAACAACATACACTGTGAAACATGACAGTGCTTTAAAATGAGAACAACGTGTAAGAGTTTCAGCACTCGTTATTATCACAATTCACAGATTTCCAATTTATCCTAAACACATATACTAAGATTAAAATATTTCTAGAAGGTGCTTGGTATGTGCACAGCTATAGCCCACACAAATGTCTAGATGTAAGTCTGCAAGGGCCCAGAAAACATGTCAGAAACTTTATTTTAAAATATAATGTAAAAACAATAACATGACAACACTAAATGCTTAGGAAGAAAAGGTGGTCCTGCAAGTAATCACACAATCAATTACTGCACTGAGCATAACTGCTAGTTTCTGACCTCTCTATTCTACATACTTATTGCCCACTCTGTGAATCCCCATCCTACCCTAACTCATGGAAAAGCCCCTGCTCCTTCATTTTTTTTTAATCTGAAGACATAGGTGTTCATAATCTATTCCAGCTACAGAATGTGCATTTCATGAGCAAAGAATTTCAGGTATCTGACTTTTAGTAAAGGACCAAAATATTCTATAAGAGCATTATCTACACGTATGAGTAAGTGAATCAAACTAAGTATTCCATCTAGCCACACTTTCCAGCAAAGAATATACTCACTTTTCTCTTAAGAGATATTTGGATTCTGCCTTGGTTGGTAATAAGTCTTAGTGGGGTAGTTACAGGTTCTTGATCTCCATTTTCTGTAGCATCAGCTTCTATCCGAAGAGTTTGCCAGGTGAGTTCTTTAAAGGTTAAAACCTATCCAGAGGGAAAACAGAGGTACAAAGTCAGGAAAGGGAAAAATTCTGAACTTTTAAGGAAGGCAGTAATTAATAGCAAAGTACTGGTTAGAAAACAGGCTTTACTAAAAGAGGATGCACTCTGGAAGGAATTAAAAATAGAACTTTTAGATCTACATCTTGTTTTAAAATGTGTCAAACATAAAATATTAGAGCACGGACTTGCAGGTACTTTGGTCACAGCAAACAACAGTACAAAAAGGTTCATTGAGCATCAGTACTGTAATCTACAAGAATGTGCACAGTATTCAGTAAAGATCACAAATCTACAAATCTTGAGGGTCTATCAAAAAGTCTCTGAGCAAGGGGTAATCTGTTTATGATCTTACCTCTCCTCTATGTGAATCAGTGATACGGGTAAAGCGCAGGTCACTTTGCTGCCAGTTAGGGTTCACACTGTATCCTTGAAGTTGCCACAGCTCAAAAGAAGCATGAAAGGCCTTGGAGTGGATCTTGATGGTAATGGAATTGACAACAATAAACATACCCTCCACTACCTTCTCGGCAAAGCCATATTCACTGTAGGGAAGGAAATAGATTTTAACAGAGCAGAAAGCTTCAACTCAGCTTGATCAGTACAGCTTATAACATTGTTATACAGAAAGTTCATGCTAATCATCACAGATGTGAACACCAACAGATGCTAAAACTGGAGGTAAACTCCATGGCTAATCTCCACAGCAGATTTTGCAGGTGTGCAGGAGGATTTCAAGGGGGAAGGGGAATCATTCCAATTGCTACCTTTATTCTGTCAGCAGGCTATCTGGGTTGGACATAGCCCATTAATAATAACTGTGCTTGAAATGTTTATAAGAAATAATTTAACATGTCTATAGTAATAGAAATGAACAATTCATCTCCCCCTGCCCCTCTCTGAAACTTTAAACATGTCTACACACAGAGGTAAAGAACTGAACATGATACTCAGTAATGTAAAATCCTTGGGCTGAAAAGGACTAGGTGGTCCAAATATTCAAACATAGTGCTAATGGTTGAATACTTTCTATACCTCAGCCATGCAAACACTGACTCATACGGTTTCAACAAAACATGTCACAAAGTTTGGAAGAAAGGTACACCACACCTGAAGTGCTGAGGATAAGATGGCTCCAAATAACTCCATCAGGTGAGCTAAACCACATGCTACAAGGTAAGGTACATTATTCTGACACTTTATCTGGTAAATCTACTTTGAATTTTAGGAACTTACTTGCTATTATATAAATAATTTTTCTTTAGGTTAAGTTTAATGGTGAATAAGATACATATGCCTCCCTTGATTTGGTAATTCATGTTCGCTAGATTATCATGTTAAGTTTATCTGCTTTATAGGCTTTTTGGATATTAGAGAATCCTAGTATCCCTATTCAATTCTTATAATACTGCATTTTGGGTTTATCCTAGAATGAATTTTCTAGTATCTTAATTAAACTGCTGATATTTTACTCAATGAAAGTGGCTAGATGATTTAAGTCTCATTGAACTCTATAGTTCTACCATTAACAACATCAGATATTGTATTAAAGTGCACATCATGCACAAAGGTATCTTTCTACATTACAAAAATGCTTTCAGTCATGTGCAGCAGTAATGTAAACAAAGCAATTGCCGGTACACTTTACATGTTGTAGTATCCAATATATATAAGTATAGATTAGGCATGTGAAGGGCTAGAATAAAATGAGGAAAGGGTTTTTCCCCTTTCTTGCCCTCCACAAACCCATCACATTTCAACATATACTATATAGTATTTCTTATATTTGGATAGCATAACGTGAATGGAAATGGGATAATGTTTTTACTACTTTTTTCTATTCATGTTCCAATGTAAAAGCTGAACAACAACTAGCTTTGCCTTATTTCCAACATGGTGTCCTCCAGAAATGCTAGAATAGATCTCCCATTTCCCATAAACTGTCCTATTTATTTATTAAGTCCTCCCCTAATTCATGTTACAAGAGGCATTTCCAAACTGTCCCTCTGAAACATGTTACATTGTGAAATAGGCTCTCACTGAACATTCCCAGTCAAAATGTTAAGTACCAGCTCTCTGAATTGCTGCCGTACTCCTGAACATGATGTGCTCTACTATTCCCAAAGCAGTCAAAGGCCATGCTGGCTGAGCATACTGGGAGGTATAGGCTGGTACATCTGGAGAACACCTAATGTAGTAATAAAATGTCCAGTGTCTGTGAAGCAGAGGCTAAGTGTCCCATAATGAATTCCAGAAAGTTATACAATCAGCATATGGGAAACCTTGTACATTGGTTGGTCATTTATCCTGTCATGAGATGAACAATCTCAGATTGTTAGAAGTGGAAACTGAAAACATTTACAAAGAATGGGTTAAAGGGTAAAAAGAATCCATTAGAAGTCCCATGTATATAGCTCTAAAATAAATAACTGAATCCAGGAATTGCTCCAGCAAAATTCAGTTAACTTGTCATTAAGATGCAGTTTTGTTTTAGTTTAGATGGAAGAATACATAAAAGAAGGGTGTTACTTGTCAAGGTCTGGACAGATCAGCAAACAAAATGTTCATGGAATTACTATTTACAAAGGTAAACAGTAATTACCTTTCTACCTTTCAAATCCCCATCTGAGACAAAGATGTCCTCAGAATAACTAGCAAAGGGCCAAACAGCAGGTAATCCTGAATTAGAGTAACTCCTTTTTCTTCTTTTCACAGAATGTAGCCAAGGAGACTGTTATTCTGAGCGAAAGGAGGAGATACCTTTACCCTTCTCCTTTCTGACTGGAACTGCAAAAAAATTATTCCCATCTCCCTACAGCTGCTTTTCATCTTCCAGGGATAAAAATACAGGTACCAGCAGCAGCAGAGCTAGGGAAATTTTTAGCATGAAAACTAAAAGAAAATGGTAAGAATATGCTATTGCTACTTCCCCTTCTTGGATGCACAACTTATAATGGTGAGGAGTTTGAACATGACAGGGAAGCCAAGAGCAAGGCCACTAGGAGGTCAGATTCTCACTGGGGTGATCTCCTAGCAGGGGCACACAAGGTAGAATGGTCAAAGCTGACATACCAGACTAAGATGCATCCATCCCCTTCAGAAGGAATGGTCACATCAGCAGAAGGGAATAGATATCTCTATGGATGATGGGGCAGAGAAATATCTGAAGAGCAGCAGGGGTAGTTGAAGGCAACACTGGAGGATCTTTCATGGACAACAGCACTGACAATGACATTAACTCTTATTTGTACTGCTCAACAGGAGGCACTGGTAAACCACTTCTGAATTTTTTACCTTGAAATCCAGAACCAGTGGGTTGACAGCACACTGTGATGACTTGACAGCAGATAAGATCAACAACAAATTGCTACCTACTATTGAAACATGTAAGGGAACAGAATGGCTTCTACCACACCAAAGCTCCATAAACATAAATGTAGTGGAGTTTGCACTGGTTTTGATTCTGAACATACAATACATAGTGTATGGATACAATTATTCAGTAGGCTCAGCATAAGAGTCCAGGCAAGCCATCCTTTCAGGTATATCTCACAGCAGCAGCCAAGGCAGAAAAACTTGCATCACCAAGTCTGACTCTATGTTGTTTTAACAAGGAAAGTGGAAATAATCTCAAACACCACAGTGACAAAAATGTGTAGAGAATATTATTAATGCGAATGAAACAATAACCTTTGTCCTGAAGCGAGTGCAATGGGAGACTGCCCATTGGGTGGCCGGGGCTCTTCACATGTTTGCATTTCCACTTCAACTTTATCTAAATACTATGGAAACAGTAAGGGAGACAAACACGGAGAAGTTATCCTCACTTAAGAAAGAAGTGTTCTCTAGCTGTTCAAGATACTGCCATTTCTTATGAACCTGCAGAATTAATGCCTAGCACACCTGTTTGCCTCTTACTACCTCACAAAGGATCCATCCTGTGAAGAGCTTTCAGGTTGGAATACTATTGGAAAAGGGTAAATTTCTACACTGTCCCACATTCTAGAAATCAACAGGGCTATTCAAACATAACAAATGGTTACTGTGCAGTTACCTTTACCTTGTGTCTTGTGTTCACACATTCACAAGATAACTACTCATGAGTAGTCTTCACATACTTCCATCTTCCCTCCCATTGGTAGCATGTATCCCATCAGCTCCTGCAGCTGGGAATCAATCCCAGCGTGCACTGCTCTCCTGCACTGCCTGACTATCCCCATTCATTCCCATGCTCCCCTGGGCAAGTTCTCAGCCAGCTTTCCCTTCCCTCCTTGCTCCATGGAGCACCTGTCTATTCTTTAAAGTTGCATGCCTGTCCCCATGGTCACTGCTCATTGTCTTCCCTCCCAGCACACAACCTCCAATATCTGGAGTGCTAAGATGCTCGTCTAGCATGGCCACACTGCCATGTCCCTGACTGGTAAGGCTTCCATGCAAGCACACTGTCCCCTCTCACATGAGGTAATGCTATCTCAAAACCTCATGCAAGAGCCTGTGCCTGGGGGACATAGCAGTACAACTGTGCCAGATGGGCAAGATGAGAATTTCAGAGATGCATCCAGGAGGAGAGTAGGCAGGTGATCGGCCAAACAGCAGGCAATCTGGCCAGGAGTCTTATGGTGCATGCTGGAGGTGAAGACAGAGCAGCAAATCAGAGCCCTGTTTACCAGCAACTCAGCCCTTGTGAGGTGAACAGGGCAGCAGAAAATGGTGGCTGGAACAGCCATTATTGCTGTGAAACTTGCTGTCAGAAATGGATAAACTATGGAAAAACTTTGTAACTGGCTTCACACACAAGGAGTAATACTGAAACATGGAAACCTTACAATAGACCATTGGTTCTCCTTGGTAATTCTCGGTAACCAAACATGCCACATTTTACCAAGCTTCCAGTATTCTTGATGATGTGAGGCGCCCCGAGGCTTCGGCGAATGGGGCGGCATAAAAATGTTTTAATAAATAAATAAATAAATAAATAAATAAATAAATATTCACACATAAGCCATAGTCTTGTTATGTGTGAATACAGCCAACATTCATTTCAGAATTCAGCAATAAGAACCATAAGTGTATTTTAATATCTCTTGTACAGATAGTATGAATTCTGTCCCATTCTGTGTCCACAAATAAAAGAACACGATACCACCTTTATTCTAGTGGGTACTTGCATATACATTTTCAAAGAAGAAAGTAGTAGAGAGGAGGAATCCACAGCAGGTGCTAAGGACTCGTGCTCATTGTAGTAAACTTCAGGTAGTTACTGCACAGTGATATTTCTTGTGATATCGACCAAACTTTCCTGATTTGAGTGCTGTTTTTTCCTTTGTATGATTTTTTTTCTCCGAAACCCATATGGCCACTTGTAGATGTGGACATATTTTAGAGCTGCTGCATCTTATTTTTGTTAACTCAGGAGAGCCACAGCATGTGATTACTTCATAGAGATTAGAAGTAGTAAGGGTAGAACTGCACATGTTTTCAATTCCATATTTCCCATCTAGTAATAATACAGGATCAAAGAGTATTTTCATAAGAGAACTGGTGGACAGGAAGAAACCTGTCTGTTGATTCTCCTTGCAAATACCTTTTCAGGTTGTTCTAAGATGTTTTCCCCATTATTAAGCTGGCTTCAAAACTGGAAATAAACCCAGTCAAGGAAAGAAACCACTTTGGAGTGAGGGAATCTGCTGATGAACATTTACCAAACACAAAAATGGCTCTTCACTCTTACCAGTGACTCATTATTGCAAATGTCCCCACCCACTGCCAGCACAATTACTTTATTCCAGAAACAACAACCCTGGGAACATACCTGATGAGATAATACGTAGTTCCACCTTCAGTTATTTTTATCGCTGGATTCTGGACAAATTTAGGTTGCTTCACAGGTTACAAAATTCCTACATGACACTTTTAGGTAGAAATGTATGCTGCCTGCCCAACTTCTGAATGTCAAGTGCACTTAAATAATACCAGTGGTGGTACTATCTTAAAAAGGGATAGGCTTAGGGCAAATGACAAGCTGAGCACAAAATAACTCCTATTCTCAGAACCCTCAGCAAACTAGCTCATAACACAGAAGACAGATTTGCATGTTAGACCTGAAAGGAATGATAAAATATAATTTATTGAATGATAAGTACAATGCCCATGTTACAACTCTCTTTCATTCAAATGATTTCATGATTTCTGCGAAAGTCTGTTCTTGTGTCTATTCTGTTCTTTCCAATGTGGTTTAACACAGCTGAATCTGGCTTATGAAAACACATTAATAAAAACCCTATCACAAGAGAAACTCCTAAGAAGGAGTATTATAAGATCAGAAGTGACTCAAACACAGGAATGCCAAAAGCCTAGACTGAAGTTCAGCATATTTTGCAAGTAGATTAAGTTTCCTTCTTCCTTTCCCAGAGTTTCATTTTCATTATCAGAATTACACAGAACCATACCTGTGAATTAGAATTACAATGTGGGAAATAGCCCGAAGATGAGATTAATTTGAAGAACAGTGAAAGGATTATATGTCTTTATGTGGCAGCATTAAAATTTGTCTTGATACAATCCAGAATTATGAACAAAGAAGAGATAAGGAAAGCCATTACCAGACAGATTGGGTGAGTCTTCAACTTTGTCCACTGAATCTGCAACAAGAAAGCTGCTGTTAAATACACAGGAATTGTTACAAAGGCTAAACAGATTCAGGCTGACACAGGGTCAATTCCAGCAAATCCATGGTTTGCCGAGTGACTCTGTAAAAGTCGTTTTATAAGAATACAAGCTCATTGAAGACAAAATGATTTCTTATTGAGTGTTCTCTAAATACAAGTGAAGAGATTTGTTTAAGGACAAAGAGTTCTTTGGTCCTTAGACTAGCTGATTTATTTTGCCATGAGCTTTTATGTCTGCTTCATCACATTTCACATCTGATTCATCAGATGTAAACATACAATATACACCAAATAACTGCGATCCAAAGATACTGCACAAGAAAATGAAGGCAAGTGTGTGGGAAGGTTACCAATTTCTCTTTCTGTCTGAAACTCCCTATGCCCCATGAAAGTTGACTCCAAAGACAGCACTGGAAGATCCATCAGAGCAGGAGGGATGGTGCAAATTATTGACCATCAATTTGTGTATAAGGGTGTCTTCTACACATACCTTGGATTCAAAGATCCTACTGCAATTTAAGTATTGTGGTAAGAATTACCCTTAACCCAAAATCAAACCATAGAAAACTAAGAATATGTTAATGTATTGCTATGACAGGACTTTTCCAGGGACAGTCAGTGATTGGTAACTTCCATTCTACTGACTTCTGTAATCTATGTGTTTAATGTCCCATGTATTGCCTTTTATTTGATTACAGAACCATGAGCATGCTACTTTTTATGACCAAATAAAATTTAACATTTTATTAGAATTTATAAAATATTTTAGAATTTAAAATATTTTAATTCTAATATAGATCAAACCTTGAGTAATGTTACAATGAGAAATATTCCTGTTTGCCTTCCATTTGGAATACAACAAACAGTTCATTCCCTTGACATGTTTGTTCTAACAAGGTCTTCTCACCTTAATTTGTCAGCAAAGATTATAATTACTCATGTCACCACGTAAAAAGCATGTAAATTGTAATGTCAGGGAGGCAAAAAGAATGAGCCATTTAATATCTGTAATACCTATGTCAGAAAGCAGTAAGAAAAGCAACAATTCCAGATATTAAATACAGCTCACAGAAACTCTGATGGGTTTTTACTGTGTGGTCATGTCAACACTGTATTTTTTAACAATCTCCAGAGCCATTTTGCATGAAGTTTGTGACACTATGCATAATCCTAATGGAGCTTAAATATATGCTGACATCAACTGAAAAATCAATTTCCTGCTCCAAAAAAGCTTGGGGCAAAATTTTCAAGAAGAGAACACTGTGCTCTCTATGTAAAAGTGCAACTGCGACTATTATGCAATTAAGTATTAAAACAAAACAATTTCAGATGTGAGGTTTAACAGCGTAGCACTGATCAATTTATAACTGATTATAACCAGACTACTTGTAATTTCTACATCTGCTGGAGTGGAGAATGTGATCCTTTTGTGACAGTTACTAGGATTAGCAATTTTGATGCAAAGCCAGAGCAACTTGCAGAGAGAGTAGCAAAGTAAAAAGGCAGAGAAAGGATAAGAAGAGGACATGTCTTCAATATTATGAAATGTTCTGTAAAACTTATGGGATTTTAACACACCCTGATGGAAGCCTTGTTACAAAAAACCCGAGTGATGGCTAGCCAGGTAGGCAATTCCAGTACATTCTGCAGAACTTCTTCATCCAGTTCAAGATTCGTCAGTTGTCCCTGCCCTTTGAGAGTACTCAAGTTTATTTTATCAGGGGAGAGGTTCTTTGTAAACCTGTAACAAAGAAAAAGAAATGGAGAAATAGGTGAAAGAGTACATTGATCAGTGGGTAAACTACTGAAGTAAAGCTTAAAATATACGGGTTTAAATCCCATCCCAACTTTTACCTAAAAAGTGGCCTGTTCTGAAACTCAGTTTCAGTTGATTCACCATGTGCAATATAAGAACTACAACATGCTATCAGAGTCCTTCCTTGTGAGGTTGCAGAGAGTATGGAAAAACCTTGTACACTTTAAAAATGTTGTGTTAAGTTGATACAAATAACCTAATCTGCTATAAAGATCACTTTACCAGGAGAACACTGTGATCAAGCATCCTAAATGTCTAGTAACTGCTAGATAATTAATATTACCCTCCCAGCAAGTATAGTTAATTTTCAGTTACCTGTAGACAAGCTTTTAAATAGCAGAGACTATATGATGACTAAGATTAATTCTGTAACTGGGAAAAGGGGGAAAGGCTTTGAGGGAAACTTGACAGCCACCAAAATGAAGTAGAATGGACTCTGATACATGTAATAAATCCAATAAGCAGCAGGAAAGTGAATAAATAAATGAACTGTATCAGTCTTAACATTCTTCTTGGAACTTCTCTCATAAAATTCAGCCCACTGTAATCCTCAAACTTTAATCCTATGCTAATCTATGAGCAAATATATTTGCCTAAACATGTTTGCTTATATGCTGGAAAATCCTGTTTCGTACTTCCAACTCACTTTCATGTGTTAGCTGTCTCCTAAATATCCACTGCTCAGAGTAACTTCTGTAACACTATACGCCTGTTGCCAATTGCAGTTCCCTCTACAGAAATATTATATTGCACAACTGTTTGCTCAGACATTTTCCCTAAATTATCACTGTCATCTGAAGTTAGTACAAACCTCACATATGCAACCATTTTGCGTAAGACTGGTCCTTGGGAAAAAAGTAGGTAGGCATCTCTAAACCCACACACCCACCCACATGTAAGGGCAGGCTTGCTGAGACATTATACAAAATGGTGAATGGGGAAAGAATTTCCACTTCAAAATCTAAATTAACTTTTTCAAGAATTTCCTGAGTGATGGCCATTATTAGGCTGCAGTCACAAAAATAATGATAAAAATTGTAGGATCTTAAAGACCAACAAATAGATCACAGGAAAAATGTTTCTGCACTTGAGTCTACTTCTCAATTGACAGGGATATATACATATGGGTATAACTGAAAATGGATTATAAAAACTGGCGTCAAGTCAAATGGGGAAGTAATGCAAAAAGTACAGTTTCAGTTGGTTCACTAACTATGTATAACAGCAGTAATAGAAAATGCTATCTGACCATGATTTCAAATTGCCTGGTTTCAATCATTCTGGCAATGATGGGCTGCATTTCTCGAAGTATGGAAAACAAGTCCTTGGACACAAAATGAAGAACCTCATTAGGAAGGTTTTAAACTAAATCACACAGGGGAGGGAAATGTACGAAAGGGCACTACAAAAGCAGGGAATGAAATGAGCCACAGCAGAGGGGAAAAAAACCCTCTAATAAAAACTAATAACACACCAGAAAAAAAAGCCCAGAAAGAAAACCAGGTTATAACCCTAGTGAACTTTGATGCTTGTACACCAATGCACATGAACCTGAGCTCCAAATATATGAAGGCAACTGTGATCTTGCTGCAATTACTGAAATATGGGGGGAAGATTCTCATAATTGGAGTTCAAAAATAAGATGGGTACAACCTCTTCAAAACAAATAGAATGGACAAAGGGGGGGGGAGTCACACTATATGTTAGGAATACATCCATACATCCATTTGCAATGAATTACAGGAGGAGCAGCCAAGTAGCCACATCAAATGCATCTGCGAGGAGCAACCTAAGAGGAGCAAAAAACAATAGCAACATAATCATCAGTGTCTACTACCACCCACCGAAGCAAAAGAGAAGACAATGGCATTATCTTTGAAAAACAATTAGCCAGTGTGGCAACAAGACATGACGTGGCTATCATGGGCAATTTCAACTTCCCTTACATTTGCTGGGAGACGCATTCAGACAAACATAGCTCCTCCAAAAGATTCCTCCAAGAGATACCCGATAACTTCCTCCAACAGAAAGTGGAGGAAAGAACAAGGGGAACAGCTACACTAGACTTAATGCTAACCAACAAAGATGGTCTGGTGGATATTTATTTACCTCTATTTTTAGGCTGTCTATAATTGCCAAGGCCTTCCTAGGCAGATAAAGTAACAAACATGGGTTCCATGAGTGAAAGTAACCTCACCATTCTTGAATTCTCTATTAAGAGGATGGCAAATGTCTGTTGCAGCCAAACACATATCCTTGACTTCAGAAGGATCAATGTTAAGAAATGCAAGACAGTGATAAGCAAAATCCCCTAGCAACTCACCCTAAAGAGAGAGGAGTCCAGGAGGAATGGAAAATCCTTAAAAAAGAATTTCTTAAAGCACAACAATTAATCCTAACAAAGAAAAAGAATACTAAACTACCAACCCCGCCCCCCTCATGGTTCCCCAAGAAGTTAGGAGACAACTTAAAAGCTAAGAAGGAAATGTACAGGAAGTGGAAAGGAGGACAAGCCTCCAAAGAAGGGTATAAACAGACAGTACAAATTTGCAGGGAAGAAGTCAGGAAGGCTAAGGTGAGCTATGAACTGAAACTAATGAGACATGCTAAAAATAATAACAAAACCTTCTACAGCTACATACAGAATAAAAGACAAAAGAGAGAGGCATGCAGCAACTCATCAAGGATGACAAAAATGACAAGGAAAAGACAGAGGTGCTCAGCTGTACTTCAGCTCAGTCTTCTCCCACAAAAGAAAATGCCACCTGCCTACAGAGGAGGGGATGCAAAATGGAAGGGAAGGATGGCAGCCTAAGATCAGTGGACATATGGTCAAGGAGTACCTTGAAGAGCTAGATGCATTCAAATCTCCAGGACCTGATGGCCTCCATCCTAGAATATTAAAGGAACTGATGCAAGAGCTCTGTGAGACACTAAGTATAATATTGGAGAAATCTTGGAGAATAGGGGAAAGTGCCAGATAACTGGAAGAGAGCTGATGTAGTCCCCATCTACAAGAAAGCGAAGAAAGACAAATCGGGGAACTGTAGACCATTCAGTCTAACTTCAATCCCTGGGAAATTACTGGAGGAAATTATAAAAAATCAGTCTGTATGAAGAAGCAGAAAGCAGAAGCAGATAAGCAGAAGCCAACACAAATTTCTAAAGTCATGCCAAACCAATCTAATCTCATTCTTCGACTGGGTAACCACCCAAATGGGCAAAGGAATGCAGTGAATGTTATTTATCGATAAATTCAACAGGGACAAATGTCAAGTTCTCCACCTAGGCAGGCAAGCAAGCAAGCAAGCAAGCAAGCAAGCAAGCAAGCAAGCAATAAATAAGCAAGCAAGCAAGCAAGCAAGCTGGGGACTATTTGGCTCAACAGTACTGAGAGTGAAAGAGACCTGGGAGTTGTCATAGACAACAAACTAAATATAAGTGATCAGTGTTATGCAGCTGCAAAAAAGGCAAACACTATTTTGGGATGCATAAACAGAAGTATCACTTCCAAAAATAGAGACATACTTGTTCCCCTCTACTCTGCATTACTCAGACCTCACCTGGAATACAGCGTTCAATTTTGGACACTCAGGTTTAAAAAGAATGCTGATAATCTGAAGAGGGTTCAGAGGAAGGCAATAAAGATGATATAGGGCCTGGAAAATAAGTCTTATGAGGAGAGGCTGCAGGAACCGGGCCTGTTTAACCTTGAGAAAAGAAGACTACAAAGTGACATGAAAGCATGCTACAGGTAACGCAAAGGTGTCACAAAGAAGGAAAAGACCTATTCTCACTCATCCCAGGTTGTCGAACATGGAACAATCAACTTAAACTACAGTACACAAGGTGCAGGCTAGACACAAGGAAGAATTTCCTGACTCTGAGAGCAGTATGACAGTGGAACCAGCTGCCAAGAGAGGTTGTGTGCTCTTCCACACTAGAGACATTTAAGAAGCAATCAGACAGTTATCTGAGTTGGGTGATGTAACTAGTGTCCTGCACCAGCAGCGAGTTGGACTTAATGGCCTTCTCAGCCCCTTCTGACCCAACTATTCTATTATTCTTTTGTTAACATTTACAAGGATTTGTCAGTTCAGACAACACAACAAACTGAGGTGGAAAAGCTAAGCCAAAGTTCTGAGCTTCTTGTTGCTCTGAGCTGCTTATGTTAAGAGGAGGTCAGGAGGCCAAGAATTATTCATGTCATGCTGCGATGAGTGCAATGTCTCATCCCCCACTGAGGCTCTGTACAGGGTTCAGTTGTTTATGCATCAGACAGTAAGAGAGAGGTAAAGAGGACTCTGACAGTAACTCAATAGGCATTGTTTGTGGGAAGGGTAGGAAAGGTCTATTAATAAAGCAGTGCTCAACAATTTCCCCTGCAGCCTCATGTATACAATAAAGATGCGAATAGGGGCATGATAGAACAATTTAAGCAATTATTTATTTGTGGGGGAGACCTGCTGCTCTCCAGCTATTTTGACCAACCACTTCCTTTGTCCCTTATCACTGCCAATGCTGGCTACAACTGATAAGAGCTGTAGGACAAGACATTGAGAGCCACAAGTTATCCACCCCCACTCTAGGTTAATCTTCAGACTTTATCTAATCTGCAACTAGCAGAGCACTATATCACTCAGAAAAAATGTTATGTACTATAAATAGAATTAACATGATTCATGCTAGGTTGGTGTAATAAAGCTGCAACCAGGTCTACCAATGCTGTCATGTTGGAGGCAGAAAAACAGAAATTACATTCTCCTGCTCACTCCTCCTCTTTAAAGTAATATGCCCTCAACCAGAAAGAGTCCAAAAGTATGCTCATATAGCTAAATGATCTGGATCCAAAATGGAAGGAGATTGTTTGACCACCAAAAAAGCATTTCACACACATCCCTCTGTACTAATTTGAATTCCTCACA